AGTAACTATTTTTGATCATTTTTGGTTGGCCTCTGGCGCTTATGCTATCGTTGACCGGTATTGGTAGCGTGCTAGAGAGGTCGCTTCTCACGCATCCAAATAGAAAGCTTTGGGCACTTTGAACATGCCTTTCATGAGAGGACTTGTGGTTCCACAAAGGGGTTTCTTGAGGACGGGGTGGCGTTCTTCTGGCTTGGAGGGGGATCTCTTCGGAGCTAACAGGTTCCCCGACCCATCCACAGAAGCGACCTCCACCGCCTGCGCTGCCAGGGCCTGCGTTATTTTCATGCCGACGATTGGACAAGAGGTCAGGACTGTCAGGACTGTCAACACAAGAGGTCGTGTGGAAATCTGGTGCTACCAGCACACCTTTGCCACCTGGTGATTGAGTCTTTTGCCCGTTGGTCTTTCGACCAAGTACCCTCCAATCCCGCCCGCCTGGGTGGTCAAGACCGGTGGAACCAGTGTTCATGGCATCCACACCCGATCCCTTCGGGGCCGGTGGAACTGGAATCGCCTGACCTGTGGTCGTGGGCCGTTGGGTACACTCGGGAACACGAAGCGGAATGCTATATATATATATATATACATTACGCATAGTCATGCAATATGCACCAGGACCTTCAAAGTGACCCTTTGAGATCCCAGGATGAGGTCACTTAGGCCTGTAAAAGACCACTTACAGACTGCAAAGGGGTCACTTTGAAGGTTCTCGTGCGCGTGTGTGTGTGTGTGTATCTATGTGGTTAATATTCTTTCATCCTGGAATGGCCACTCATCGTGGAAAAAAGATTTCTTTCGCGGGTCTTTCGCGGCCTCATCGCGAAGCATGGTCCCACAGCCATGTCTAGCTATATAACATGAGCCAGAACATGTCATAGTATCGCAAAATAGGGACAGACATCTTGCACCATGTCACTTGCATCATCTGTGCGACAATGGTGCCAAATAGAGTCAGGCACAACTCAGCCCAATCCTACCTACACAGGGTGATGCAGCTTGGGGAATGTTGGGGGGCCTCAAGCTGGGAACCTGGACTTTAACGGCACATTCGCGAAACTTTCGCGGATCTTTCGTTAAATTTCACTGGTGCTTTCCCTGGGAAGCCCGAACATTTGCAAACATCTGCACAGCCCGTCAGAGCAGCTGCAGGTCGTTGCCTCACTGTCAGGGCTGTGCCTACTCAGATTGCTAATCTGTGACAGTGGGGACAGGAATCGGAGAATCCTTTACGCACTGCCAGGGCTGGGCACGGAAATGTTGAGGCTTCAGTTCGTTAGTCTGTGGCATGGGGACACTTCCGCCCGCTGGCTCTGCCGGAGGATTGCCTTGTATTTCTATTCTTTGTCAGTCCGGTAGAAAGGAAAACATATGAAAGCGATGACCTTCGATAATTCCTTCGCGGAAAAATACATGATACTTTCGCGAACCTCATCACGAATCTTTCGCAGATGGTTCTAACAACATCTGAAAGGCTGTTTTGTATAAAACTCCTTACACGGAGTTTTCGATCAACCCCCATATAGTGTGTGTGTACAATATTGTAATATAGTGAGAAGGAGCCAGTGACCTGACCTATCCCAGTCAATGGTTCTCTTCTGCAGATTTGCTGCCTTTCTCAGTGGAAAGAACCCACTCCGGCCACCATAAAAGCGAACATGTTCCCCCTGGCCGCCCTGGCCCAATAGGTTCCCAGCGAGTTTCTGCTGCCAAAAGAAAGGTCCTTCAAATGGATCTCTGGTTTCAACTGGCTTCTCACACGAAGCTGAGATCGAGACCGAGTGTCATTGCTTGGAATCAGGAATAATTTGCACACAAACATGCCTTTTGGTCTGGGCCGTAATAAGTTATTACCACCAAAGGAACACATGAAAGGACCCTAACAGCCATACTTGGCAGTAGCCCCCTTCCACTGTACATGAGACGCGTCGACTATATATCTTTAAATTCATTTTACAGTATGCATTTGGATGAGCAGACTTTGCACCCAGGTCCTTGCTGGTGCGCTTGCGGAAATGACTTTGCCTCCGGCCCAGGCACATCAATTCAAAAGCAGCCGGATCTTAGAGGTGCAAATGGCAGCTCGAAAGGTGGCACAAATGGGCGATGGCCATGGCATTCACAGGTGCCGAAGGACCAGCAAACTCGTGGGCCATTCACAGGTCCGGCCTCCGACGTTCCAAGCTGCGCCCAAGCCAGCAAGAAGTAAACCTCAGTCGTGGTACGCCACTCACACCACAAGCTGGATTTGAGCAGCAGAGCCAACCCACACCAAAACGAAAGGCTGCAGCAAAAGCAACTAAACGTGTCTTCAGTTTTCTCCATGTCGCCTGCGAAATCATTGGATTTCCAGACTCCTTTCGACTGGCTCCCTAGGCACCTGAGCCTCTATAAGCGAATCTGGGCGAGACAATGACCTCAATAACAGAAACACTCCAGTTAAATAAGCTGGAGAACGTCTGCCGCAAGCTCTGAAGGGATGGAAGTTCGGCAACATCCACTTCGATATAGAACAGCATGCAACACCATCAAAATTGCCAAGCGCATGATCATTGCCAGCTCTGACACCCACCACTGGCCTGAAACAACCTGAAACCATCTGAGAACCTAGAAACTTGCCCTGCAGGTCTTCTCTTAGGGCCCAAGGGGGCGTGGCGAGCCCGGTCGACGGACTTCCCCGGTCGACGGCTCCCCCCGCTGAGATCACAGGCCGATGCCCAAGGTCGACGATCTTCGCGATCGCGTTGACCTGTCATCAGTTGAGGTAGAAATACTTGGAGTCAAACGGAGTTACCTGAAAAGAATCATGGGCATCACTGGAAGGAGAAGACCATACAAGGCGCGTGCTTCAACAAAGGCTCCAAGAATTGTACCAAGTGTTGCACGTCTTGGGCCGTCAATGGGGCGCCTCCATGCCATAGCGCACATGTTCTGGAGAGGACCTCTGGGCACGAGCCATCCTAGACACTTCAAATCCCCACAACTGAAGGACAATCTTGAGCGGAGTTCTGGAGAACCACAGGGTGTGTGGCTTACCGTTTGCCTCCAGGAAAACAAGGCACGTGCCCTCGCCAAACCTCCCATCACACAGAAAGTACGCAACCAATATCACAACCTAGGACCTAGGACCTAGGACCAGGCTAGGGCCATCTTCCTGTTTATCTGTGCTTCAGGCACCCTCGCATGTCCATGCGCAAACTATCATGCGAGATCAACAAGCCCTCCCTCCCATCAACCCCTCTCGAATAGGCTTGTGCCAGGTCTCTGTGCGGAAAATGCCTCAGAGCTGAAGAACCGCGCGTGCCCTCACGACGATCGGATCCCTGTCGTGAGATTCTGCCGCAAAGTGCGATACTTCACTCACAAAACTCGGTGAGAAGCCATTTCTGGCCCACCGTATTAAATATTGAAGGGAAGCTGGACCAACTGATGCAGCTAAGCTTCCTGAAAGCAATGAATCTCCTGAGTATGGCAAAACCAAAGTGGCAACAGGAACAGTGCAGCTTGCCTCCAGCTCATTGAGAGGATACGAAGCCAGCGACAAATCATATACACTACACAAGCTAGAGCCCTGCTAAACTGCTGTCTCATCAATCCAACGATGCCCACTTTTGGTGGCCAGCAACGACTTGTTTGCATTTCAATCGTCTGCTTTTGGGCACCCGGATGGCAAACGAACAATCAAGAAGATCGGTACATCAGTTTTGCCTTAATGTTCTTCAATTGAATCCCAGACTTGTTCAACTCTGACCCCTATCCCTGGGAGACCCGACTCCAACAGTGCAGGGTGGGCAGGACCCAAATGAGCCCAAAACGCTGCGGCGTATGAATCTGCATGATCGTATGGATGCACATCAGGAACTAGGGTTGTTGAGTTTTTTGGTAACTGCCATCAGCGGTCTAGATAATAGCCAAGCGGCACGGCTTGCCATTCAATGCCAAACATGAAGAGCCTACCCGCCCATGTTTAGTGCCAACGGCGTATCCATCCTCACGAGGGATGTCGCAGGGTCCAGGGTGAGGGATGAAATTCATGCGGACAAACATGAGCCACCACAGCATGGAAGGAAGCTCGTGCTTCCTTCTCGATTTGTCACTCCGTCGCCGTGTGGATGGACCAAACATGATAAAACCCCGCCCCCTGATGAGGAATCCCCGGCTCTTGGGGTTCTCTAGTTTTGGTGAAGGTGGGGTGGAGGGATTCTCACATTTCTCACACTTGCATTGGACACCTTGCAAATCCCTTCAGTCCACGCCACAACAACCCATCTCCAACACCGCTCTTCTTCCTGCGCTCCATGCCTTGAAAGCCCACCCTCCCTTCCTGCGCGAGACGGAAGCCGGTTGCGCCTGGAGCTCTCCTGGGAGCAAGGAAAAACGGTTAAAAAAAAACATTAATTGAATTCCTTGAATTCGCAGCATATCCAGCTTCGAGCTCCATTGCTCTCCCGTGTGGGGCCCACACCTCCAAAGATGACTTCGACCAATACCTGGCAAATCCATCGTCCACTCGATGGTTGCTTGCAGAAATGCATTTCATTTATGGCATGGGGATAGCAACCGCCCTGGCAGTGACGAAACAGGATTGTAAATCCGGGCCCGTGGATGCTGGGTCTGCTGCCAGGTTCTGGCATGTTGATGCTCTGACGGTGCGATGCCTGGAATATGAATCCCGCGGCCTCATTTTCAACTCGAAGTTGACAGGGTATTGAACTGAGTTCAAACATTAAAAGTCGTCGGAGTGCCCAAGGTCGTGAGGCACTTCTCTCGGCAACGAAAATCAAGGAACGCCACGTGGGACATGCCCTCCCCCCAAACTGAACCATATAACACCAACCATGTGAGCGAAAGTTATCTGCCCAAACTCTGGGAGAAAAAAAAGCGTTCCCTTAGTTCAGGGCAGGGCAAATTTCAAAGTCCAAAGTTGTTCTGCAAACTATATAACTAGGAAATCGGAAAACACGGATGACGTTTTCGCTGAAAACTGTGAAAATCCCCGCTCAGTGCTTCTGCTGATGTAGGAAGAGCGCTCGAGATTGTCGGTTGTCCTGGTTGCGAGGACGTCTGTTGCACACCAACCCAAGAAGAGCAATATCATGCGGAGCCAATTGTCAAATGAGCCTTCCGTGCGTGCCTGCCTGTCTCACCTCTTGGAAATGCAAAACAAGTAGGGCCCCACTGTGATGGTTTCCAGCTCAAGCCGACTAGGGGTAGCATCGGAGCTCAAAAGGGCCCAAACTGATCAATGAGCCCGTCGGGCCCATCAATTGGTCTTAATGACGACTTAGTGATGACGACAATGGTCCGCCATGGGATCCGCTCATGGGGATGTGGCGGTCTTCAGTCTAAAGGATGTGCTCTTACAAGGTAATCCAGCTGCACGACAACTACGTTTAAGATATTATTTATAGACACCTGAGATGTAAGATCCTCAGCTGCACGGGCACACACAGACACACGAAGGCCGCTTCTCCACGTCTCCTTGACCCAGTCTTCCAACTCTTTCATCACCGGCAATGGTTTTCCCTTGGTCGCTCACAATGCAAGCTCACCGCAATGAATCCTGCGGCCTAAAGCTTTAAGAATACCACCCGACACTCCAACCTGACCTGCACTGCCAGAACCTGGAACCTTCTGCATTGGCCTGTTTTGGAGATCGGGCCCGTGAAGGCTATACCATTTGTAGGATTTGTAGGGGGCAAACATCGACTGATGAAGCTCGACGTTGTTTCCACGTGAGTGTGGATCAGAAATAGGGAGGCCCCCAGAGAAAAAAATACAGTAATAGCTTTAAAAAACACCACCCTGGCTCTGGGGAGTCTCGCGATTGAACATCTTGAAATATATACACCCTTCAAACCGTTGAAAGGCATGTACCTCAGGATGAAGCCGTGAAGATCCATGAAGCCTCACACCAACCACTCTGGACCAGCCAAGCATCGGAGCTGTTGGGCGCCATCTCTCTCAACCACCTGACTTCCGCCCCCCCCAAAAGAAATGCATTCATGACAACGAAGAGCATGGGCAAGAATATCATCTTGCGGCTCTTAAGACCACCAGCTTGCTGCTATAACCATATGTACTTCAACAACTTCCTGAGGGCTCTCATCTCCAATTGGGAGGCTCTACCCATCAGCTGAGCCACGGATGCTCTAGGGCATCAGCAGCAGTGAGTCGAACTTCGACGTCCTTCCTGGGTGCTTGGCGCGGTTGCTTGGAGGAAAGCAATGTCGTGCATCCAGCAAAGGCAAACCCCTGGACAAAAGGTGGCAGTCCGTTCAGTTTGTCACAGAACATCTCCAAAGCCGCGGTGTTGGAACTCTCACTCTCTCTCTCTTGCAACTTGCACTGGTCAAAGCAAACCCCTGTGAAATTTGAGACTGAGCTGCTGGGTTGGGATTACCTTCGCATCTCGCGAGGGGTCAATTTTTGATTCATCGCTGGTACATGAACTTGTCATCTCCGAGTTTGATCAGTCCGACTCCACCTCAAAAACCAACGCCTAGGGGATGTGCGACCGGCCAGCAGCGCTTTTGATGGCTATCAGCTCTATTTCACGGGACTGATATGGCCTTCCATGCTAAGAACTAGGAAATGGCAAGACCAAAAGCTCATTGAAGAAAACATCGCACTCCTAGCTCACTTGGATCCCCAGGCTGTGGGCATTGGGTGCCAGCGATGTTCCCTGCAGCCTGCTTTGTGACTTTGTGTCTCCACTCTCCACACTCTGAGTGACACGGACAAAAGCTCTGGGTTGCTAGGACTCACAACATAGAATCTATGTCGCCAAGTGATAGTTCACGTTGGTTTAACAACCTTTCAGGGATCCGTGCTGAGGTTTAGTCAAAGACCGCCAACGGCAGATCCGGAGCAACACCAAGCAAGCACCTTCATTATTGGATCTGCTGAAAAGGCTGAAGAAGCAGCTAGCCAAGCAGCTGAAGAAGTTTCCGGATGAAGTCAAGCCTGCAAGTTCGGGCCAGCATAAAGGTTACTTACTTTCACTAAACCCCTAGCAAACCAATCCACACACCTGCCCAAACCGATACCTTCACTTTATCAGGAAGCGCCCCCCTGGAGAAACTCAGCATGAACATGCATGAACCCAACAAAGCGCAGGAAATACAAAGCTTCTGAAGCAAATCTGAGATCACCCATCTTCAGAGACTTCTTGCCAGCTCGATGCCTCAGCTCGCCGTTCTGAACTCTCGCAGCTGGCAAGCCGACTCGGCCGGAAACGAGTTCGCGGAGGTGGCTCAAATGACCGGGATGTGCAGAAGAAATTCATATGGATCAAAGAGCCAGAATTTTGTATAGACCCTGAAGTTCGGGGCCTAAGTCAGATTCCGCCAGCTGCCGGATACTTTAGGCGGCTGATTCCGCCAGCCGCCGGATACTTTAGGTGGCTGATTCCGCCAGCCGCCGGATACTTTGGTGGCTGATTCCGCCAGCCGCCGGTTACTTTGGTGGCTGGCCGGCTGATTCCGCCGGCTACTTTTTAGTTGGCTGGCTGGCTGATTCCGCCGGGTACTTTGGTGGCTGGCTGGCTGATTCCGCCTTTGGTGGCTGGCTGGCTGATTCCGCCGGCTACTTTGATAGGTTGCTGGCTGGCTGATTCCACCGCATACTTTGATAGCTGGCTGGCTGGCTGGCAGATTCCGCCGGCCACTTGGATAGGTGGCTGGCTGGCTGATTCTCCCGGATACTGTGATAGGTGGCTGGCTGATTGCGTCGGGACTTTGATAGGTGGCTGGCTGGCTGATTCCGCTGGATACTTTCATAGGTGGCTTCCGGCATCTCATTCGCGCGTACAGTTGAGTCACTTTTCGCGTGTACAGACGAGGTGCCGGCCACAGTTCCCACCTATTTTGAGTGAGGATTGTCCTTTACACAAGTCCCAGCTCCACGGGCCGTGGAGTTTCAGTGTACCGCAGTTAGAGGTTCAGAGGACCTCACCCGCACTACCCAAATGCGGTGTGACTAGTTCTGGCGCACGCCGCGCTAAAACCAGAAAGAGTGGCGGCGGTCCGGGAAAAACGAGTTTGAATCTGATCTGGTCGAAATGCGTTCTTTCAAAAGTAGCTGACAGTTCACATATTCTTTACTTTTGGCACACACAGTTGGCTAATGAAGGAAACATGGACCAAACAAGTATTGGCGCCAAATGGTAAGAGGCGTCACAAGTAGTGTAGGCTAGTGATGGCTTCGGGTTTCGCTCAACAATACAAATTGATCCACTATATCATAGTCAAAAAAACAAGTCACATTGCCATGCCACTGATGGCTAAACCCTTCAGATCCTAGAAGCTCATTTTGTCTGATGTTTGCCACGTGTCAAAAGAGCTCTGATGCGCGCTGTCCACGCAAACTGCACTGCAGCTTTCCGACATGCTGGCGCATCGCAAACATGCCTCTCTGAGGCCGCTGTGGGAAAGCAAAGTCATGTTGTTGTTGTTGTTGTTGTTGGTGGTGGTGGTGGTGGTGTTGTTGGTGTTGGTTGCTGGTTGCTGGTTGTTTGTTGCTCCATGGGAACGAAGCTCTTGTGGGAGCGCAGCAACATTGGACAGAGCGTTGTTAGCAATTTCCACCTGAGCCGATGTTTTTGCGCGCGTAAAGGTTGATTGACTGATTGATTGGTTGGAACCTTGCCTCCTTGATCAACCCTTCGGGCCAAAAAGTGAAGCCATGTACGCGTCCCCCTGGGAAGGCTTCCTGCCAGCAAGGCAAACAACATAAACAACCTGAGAAGCGGCAAAACGAAAGCCAGCGTTTTTGCTTTCGAGTGTGCTTTCTCAGGCCACCCCCGCGAAACCCCGTCCTTACTCAGCTGGCGCAGGTATAGATACCCAGGGTAACTACAACTCAGTTACCAGGTATAGTACCTCAAGTTCCCTTTCTGTCAACCGCTCGATAACCTTTACACACGTACAGCAATCCACAGCTTTGAAGTTTCATTGAACTTATATAGGTGTGTAAGAGATATAACAACATAGCACTTATACGCACCCCTTTATGTGCCTGATTCCGCCAGCCGCCGGGTACTTTTGGTGGCTGGCTGGCTGATTCCGCCGGATATTTTGCTGGCTGGCTGGCTGATTCCACCGGATACTTTGATAGGTGGTTGGCTGGCTGATTCCACCGGATACTTTTTAGCTAGCTGGCTGGCTGATTCCGCCGGATACTTTGATAGGTGGCTGGCCGGCTGATTCCGCCAAGTACCCTGAACGCAGGGTCAATAGAATTTTGTGAGGCCTACTGCCATCTACGTCTTATCAAGCCTTATCGATGGCAAGGAAAGAAGATCATGGAGTCGGCCAAAGAGAAGCGCAAGGTTTGGCCGCAATGCGCTGGAAAGGATATGCTGATATGATATGCTTGTAGAATTGTCCCGTGGTGTGGGATGGTTTAGGTATGTTTAGGTGCTTTACTGACCAACTGCCGCGAGCTCCGAGCCGCACTGAAGGAATAGTTGACCTTCCGCACGTTCTTGGCCACCTGCTTGGCGGTCTCAGCATCCTCGGGACGTTTCTCTCGGCCCAACCGGCGGCGTAGGGAAGGAATGGGACAGGAAGGTGTGACGAAGCAATGGACAATATTTGGACTCACCTCTTGAAAGCTACCCAATCAGGATGCAAACATGGACGGAAACCTATGACAAATACCCATCGCTTCGGGACACTTCAGGCATCGTTCCCGCCATCTGCCATCTGAAATTCTCACTCGCCGACGTTGAAGCGTTCGAGGCATCGTGCTGCAGCTGTTGGCTAGGTCGAACGATGATAACGATGCGACCATGAAGATTTTGAGTCCTTTTGGGCACAAGCGCCACAATGTCAAGTCCCCAAGACGATTTGCTGTCCGGCTGGACGAGAGTCATGATGAGTCATGTCTTGTTCTTCGTTCAACATCAAGTTCTTCGTTCAACATCAACGATCACTCCCTTACAAATCCAGCCCAAGTCACAAAGGGGCTGAGGCCACTCAGAATCAGAAACCTTGGATCAACTTTCTGCAGGGCTGGTTCAGAGATCTTTCCGATATGCAGGGCGGTCTCCGGTGCCTCCAATAAGTTTTCACAGGGTCCCCGTCGGAAAGCCTAAAAGCTCTGCCTTGGATGAAAAAGGCCGCAAGCACTTCAAATAACAAGACCTCCTTCTGGAATTGGAATTGGGTTCGTTTGGGTCTACAACACTACAAATGCTCCACATGGACGTTCCTTCTCCAGCACTGTCACTGCTTGTTCACCCCATCCCCCTCCCTCGTGAGACTTCACGTCCAGAAGACACCACGACGCCGAAACTCCAGAGATCGCACGCGGGCGGCTGATAATTCTGAGTGAGAATTTCCTGACGCGGCATGGAACAGGTGCACCAAACGCGGAAGATGTGAGGACGAAACGGTGACGGTGACATGCTCTCTGCAGGTACTGTGCCAAGAAGTGAATGACTGCCCGGTAGATGCAGCTCCCACCGAACTTCCAAAACAGGTGTTTAAAACAATTTCTTGTCATTCCGCCGGGAAAGCACTTGCTACATCATACTTATAATCTGTAATTTCTACTTCTTTTGTGCAATTGAGCCCGAAACGCGAACCAAAACTAGAAGATCTCTGTTCAAAGGCCTTTTCCTCTCTTGGATCTCCACAACAAGGATGGGAGAAAGGAACAGAGCATGATACGGGTGACAAATTGCATGTTTTGTTCACGGGTGAAGGTAACAAACAGCACAGACCTGGAACATGGTCTCCCTGCATCACCCTTGAAGATCCACACTGAACAAGTATGAATAGTATCTAAATAGTTTCTAAATATGAACATATCATATATTAGATATATATATATATATATACATGTGAACGTATGTACGGCCAAGACCTGGTGGAAAAATCCTTTGCACGGACCTGGTGGAGCTGAAGGGATATGTTTCTGAATGTTTCTCGACATCTCTTTGTAGTGATCTCGTCCCCCCCCCCCCTCTTGCCATCCGGGCGGTCTCCCGCGGCCAGGGTGCCGGTGCCACGTACATGATGGTCCCTGGGCAATCCTTCAGCCGTTGGCCCGGCTGGAAGCTGGTGGCGAGACCAAAATCGATGAGCTTCCTCAGGTAGAAGCAAGCAGCTACTAGTAGCAAGAAGCTGCTACCAGTAGTAGCAAGGTGCCTTACTAATAGTAACAAGCTACTACTAGTAAGGCACCTCGCTATTAGTAGCTAAAGGAAGCTCGGCTTGTGAAAGCACCGACCCCAGTCAGTTTTGTGAACTCCGGGAGCTCTGGGAGCGTGCTTTGAGGATGCTTTTGTTGGTGCACTCCTTTGTGCAGTCAAAGGGCTGGCCAAACATGCCCTCACTGAGGGAGCTATAGATCTTGACCCTCTTTCCAACAAGCAGTACAGTAGCGCTTCTAGCGGGATCGTGTGGGTTGCGACCAGACCTGTTGGATTGTACTTGTCGTGGGGGTTGGTGAGCTCTGGCTAGTTTGGGTCGCCACGGAGAATGTTTAAAAAACGGGCTCTCTGTGCACTGTGACAGTGCCAACTCCTGTCAACTACAGCCAGTTCTTGACCCTTTCTAGTTCAAGGCTCAAGGGCACCACATTCAACGGCCCCTCTCGACCCAGCAAGAAGTGCTCCGGCTTCAGGTCCCTGTGGCACACGTGTTGTTTGTGCCTCATTGTCAGCGTCGGCAAACAGCATCCCGTCGAAGATGTGTGTGAGAGGCCGCATTCAGACACTTGAGAGAGGAGGGGGTGAACGAAAGGAAGCAGGCAATCACAAGTAACCCTGGTAGAAGTCCATGACGGCATGAACCGGCGCAGGGGGGACTTGATCCAGGGGGGCCCCCCGACGAACAGAATCATCTCTTACAGGACCAAACTCAATGCACAATCCCAACTCCTGACTGTATATAATACATTTTTGCTAAAGCAAGGAGAACTCAGGTAGCTCAAGCTACCTTTCGTGATTACAGGTTGGGAAACAACATGTTTTCGGTCGGATCTCTTCAGGGGATGATTACCTAGGACTTTTGGTTGTCATTCTCACCACGACTGGCCAGCTCCGCAGCCTAGCTTCATGTAAGCCAATGGTGAGCAGATCTGCCTCATCAGCATTGCAGCTTGCTTCTCCGTGAGGTTTCCATCATCAATGACCTGCAGGGACGAACAAAAACATCTCCAACTCGTGTCAACGGTGTCAACGGTGTCACTCGGTGCAAAACCGCCGCCGACACCCAGGACACCTTGTCAAAGAGCTCGCCACCGCTGCAGAATTCCACCACAAGCTGATAGCCTCGAGCATCTTCGAAGGCATCTATCAAGCTGATGACATTCGGGTGACTCACCAGCCTGGCAGCGCGGTGAAGATATCATCTATTGGGAATCACTAGCCGTTGGGGCTCGGCCCAAGTGCCTCGCTTTTTTGTCAAAGGACCCTGAAACTATTTCACAGGTCCCAACTGCCCCTCTTTCATCAAAGACTTCTGTTGAGCCACTGGAGCATCCGCTTTTCGTTGTGGAAGGCCACCTGCGGCCCATCATCATCAGCTTGTCGCACAAAGATCTTCACCTGGTTTTCTAGCAGTTCAGCCGGCTGGGAAGTCTGCTCGGGACTCAGGATAAACACAGCCTTCCTGTGGTTGTTGATCATTTCTGTGTACAATGTTAGTCGGGCACGCAGTTGCACAGAGTTTTTAGCCCAAGTTTGAAGCAAAACAAGTTACTGTATAGGCTTTGGCTTTAGGCTCAAGAAGGCAGAGCTATCATTCTCCCAAAACAACCAACCCACTTCTGTCCGCTGGGCCAGGGAATCTAGATTCTGGTGTGGCCTCCGCTGACCACCTGCATGCAACATGACGCCAAACGGTACGCCGACCCTGCAGCAGTGTTGATTATTTAAAAAAAATGCGGTGCAACGACCCTGAGCAAGTCGTCAATGTCTAGGGCACAAACTCGGCCCTCACCGTTCACTTTGGGTGCCCGCCTTGCCCCATTCTCTGATGAGTCGGACTGCAACTGTAGGCTGCAAAAAAAAACAAGTGTGGTGCTTCCACCGCAGTCGCCCTGCAGGTCTCCGTTCCATAACATGTCGAGTCAAAGGTTCATGCGTGTTGTAGTTTGGCATGTGTTCCATTCTATAACCCCCACCATGGTGCATTTTGGTTGTTTTCCACCCATCCCTATCCATTTGAAGTGGTCTCGCTACCCTCCAATTCCTCCGAGCCACCGCAGAGCTCTCTTGAGTCTTCTTGCACGTTGCCAAGTGTACAGTACAGAACGCTCCAGTGCCGATGGCCTTCCCCAGGACATACTGATCCTGCCCATGCGCGGGTTATGCAGGGCAATGCAGATCCTGCCCTCTAACAGGAGACGAGCAGAGCGACTTCCAACGACAGTAAAAGGGACCCCCCCAAACGCCTGAAAGGCCATGAAAGGCTCTGAAAGGCTGGTGGAACATCCCACCTGCACCTGGAATTCTCACACACATTCTATGCAATAATATACACATATATGATGAAATATGCGTATCTTGGTGTGTGTGTGTGTGTGGTATACGTCCTATATGTGAGGCCGGGTGATATTGTGCAGTATGCACGTGGAAAAATGCATGCATCTGCCACTGAAAACAAGAGGAGCAGCATCCCACAAGAAACAGCAATCATGGAGCCCTGAAGACAGGTAGGTCACCCACTATTGAACAAATGTAATTAGGGCGGTTGAGCTGTTTTTTGCGGAAGGACTGTTGCAAAGCACGATGGCCACTCCCTCTCCAGGACAGAACCGCAATCAAACCTTGCAGGGGGCATCTGCATCCTAAGACTCTTGGGTCACCCCGGTCACCCCATCCCTCCGCTTCAATGCGCCAGCCTCAAGCTGCTTGTGAGTCGAAGTGCATCGTTTACAAAGGCCCTTCCAGCATGCCATCAGGCGCCGGTGCTCGGCCCATGTTCAGGCGCCACCAAAACGGATCAATTCTTATCTTATCTTTCTAGGCTTTGAGAACGGTGAATGTTTCTTTGGATTTTTGGTTCCACTCAGAATTGGGATCTGAGAGTCGACACCTGTGGTATGCGATGCTTTCGCTGACAGGTCCCGGGTGGCATCTTGACCGACCTGACGCTCTGACGACCTGTGATGTCCGGTGTTCGCCCTGAGAGCCAAAACATCGCCAAGTTCGTGCAAACGGTGCATGCTTCCAGGGGAAAAAAGGGAGCATATCGAAAAAAAGTCGCTGAAAGCTGTGACAAAATGTCACCAAAGGTGTCTGTAACATTCTGTAGCAAGCATTCTTTCACTACTTTCTCTTTAAAAAAAGAAAACGATCCGCTTTCAACACCTTGCCCTCGGCCTCGCCCGGCCGCGGTCTCCCGCTGCGCGGCTCTGCGCCGTCCCTCCCGGCTCCTCCGCTTTGAGGCGATGGGTTTGGGGATTCGTGGATGGACGGGGGGATCCTCCATCCACATGGATCCAGCAGGATCTTTTGTGGACAAAAAACACCTCGCAAAAAATAACGTGCGCATGCCTTTCTTGAAAAAAGATCCTCGTGGGTTTGATTGAGTCCGATACGGTCTTGAGGTCGATATCCCTCAAGACTCCTCGCCTCCTTGCGGAGCTGCTGGACACTCGCCTCAAGCAGGCCCGAATTCTTGAATACAGCGACAGCACAAGGGCACAAGGAACCTGAACTGCGGTTCCGCAATACCAGGAATCAAAACCCCTGGCTGTGGCATGCTGTCGAGCAGCAATGAAGAAACAGACAGGTCTGAATCCAGCTAGTGACTCAAGACAAGAAGACTTCAGCCCTAGATCCACCTTTGAATCTGGGACCATCTGCCATCATCTGCCCGGAGGAAGGTGCAAACAAAACCAGGTGGCACCTGCCGCGCTGCTGCAGCGGCAGCCAGGGCTGCTTCTGCCGCTGCTAAGGCGTTGCTTTGAGGCTGCACCTAGCACCAACATCACAAAATGGTGCTGTCTGATCGATGTCTGTCAATCGCAGGAAAATGCAACAAATGGTGCTGGCAGGTCAGATGGAGAGGGAAACGGAACATGGCCGTCAGTGTGAGTGCATCTCATTGGAGATCTGCAGAAACCTGGCTCCAGAAAGACCTCAGCCCTGTATCATGAGCCGGCCCACTGTCTTGCAAACTGCCACGCCTAATTATGGAGGAATCAGTCAACACTATCCCCATGTTGCCGCTTTGGGGCTTCAATTCCGGTGCCTCCATCAGTCCGGGCTTTGGCGGATGAGCGTCCTAGCGACGGAAACGGCTCGGGCAACGGCCGTATGATCAGAGTTCATCTCTCCCAGAGGCTGTTATGCTCGGTGTTTTGCAGGGCCTCCCGTCTCGCAAGTCTTGGGTCTAGGTCTAGCGATTTGTACAGAAGATGTTCCTTAAGGGTGTGCCGGTGTGCCTAGTGAAGGCTGGATGCAGTTTGCAGCCGGCCTGTGGTGTCTCGACAGATCTGGTCTCAACATTGCCCACATCAGCCTGGTTGCAACATCCATTGGGAATTGTGGGGTGAAGTAAAGCTTGCCCTCTCACTCCCTGCTCGCACATTTAGTTGGCAAGTATCCAAAACAGTCGAGCATGCCTTTATACCCTCTGATGTTCCTTTTAGAGTAATTTTAGAGGTTGCTGATCCTGGAAGAGGAAATCACTCAGGTGCAACAGCCGGCTACAAGATGATACAAGTATTGAGCAAGTGCGGTGAGGGATTGCGGCAAAATGAAATGATACAGTAATTACGTGCACACAATCCAGCTTCTTAAACCATGAAACAAATACATAATCCACGCAAAAACTTGCAAAGATCTGTGGCGCCACCATGCTTACTGAACGAAACAAGTCCGCTTTGGCGCCCTTCCCCGAGTCACTATTCTCCTTGAGTGTGCTCTCTTCAAACCAGTTTCCCACCTTCTCCGTGTCATCGGCCTCATCACATTGCTAGATCCGTGTCATAAGCTTGGAGTACTGGCCCGAAACTGAAGCACTTACACCCAACTGCCCAGCCTCTACTTGTGTAGGCGTTCCTTCTCCAAGCTCTTCCTAGCCAGGGAAACATGTTTGGAAACACTTGGTGGCGGGGCTCTGTCACTGTTCATTCCAACTGGTCAAAGCTTGACGCATTTGCAACTGGCCTGCGGCGTCGTCTCTGCAGAGGTGGTCTCAACAGCGTCCAGGTTGATATCGGCCTGGTTGTAAAAGCCCTTTTAGGGAGTCACACGATGGAGTAAAGCTTGCCTACTCACTCCTCCCCTGCCATCCTACCACTGAGAAATAGATGCGGCAAACTGGCCTAGCCTGTACACCCTCTGATCTTGCTTCTGCAGGTTCCTCCTGATCGTGCAGCAAATCACTTTGGTGCAAAGGTCAGTTACAAGTACTGTAACTGTATATACTTATGTAGCAAGCGTGCAATGTAAGATGAAATGACACCAAAAGGGCATGCAATCAAACAAAACCCGTCATAAACACTCAAAGTCCACGGAAACAGCGAAAAACACTCAATTACAAAGATCTGTGGCACTACCATGCTTACTGAACGAAACGATCTCTGCTTTGGCCGCGCTTGTGACATGACCCTCCGTCGCTATTCTCCTTGGATGTGCTCTCTTCAAACCAGCTTCTCACCTTCTCCGTGTCATCGGCCTCATCACATTGCTATATAGATCCGTGTCATAAGCTTGGAGAACTGGCCCGAAACTGAAGCACTTACACCCAACTGCCCAGCCTCTACTTGTGTAGGCGTTCCTTCTCCAAGCTCTTCCTAGCCAGGGAAACATGTTTGGAAACACTTGGTGGCGGGGCTCTGTCACTGTTCATTCCAACTCGTCAAAGCTTGACGCATTTGCAACTGGCCTGCGGCGTCGTCTCTGCAGAGGTGGTCTCAACAGCGTCCAGGTTGATATCAGCCTGGTTGTAAAAGACCTTTTACAGAGTCACACGATGGAGTAAAGCTTGCCTACTCACTCTTCCCCTGCCATCCTACCACTGAGAACTCATAGTTGTGGCAAACTGGCCTAGCCTGTACACCCTCTGATCTTGCTTCTGCAGGTTCCTCCTGATCGTGCAGCAAATCACTTTGGTGCAACGGGCCTTTACAAGATTTTACAAGTACTGTAATGCTTAAAATTGCTTAAATATCAAACGTGCAAAGTAAGATGAAATGACACAAGAGGTGCGTACTATCAAACAAAGCCAATCAGTCATAAACACTCAAAATCCACGGAAACAACGAAAAACAGTTAATTACAAAGATCTGTGGCACTACCATGCTTACTGAACGAAACGATCTCTGCTTTGGCCGCGCTTGTGACATGACCCTCCGTCGCTATTCTCCTTGGATGTGCTCTCTTCAAACCAGCTTCCCACCTTCTCCGTGTCATCGGCCTCATCACATTGCTAGCTAGATCCGTGTCATAAGCTTGGAGAACTGGTCCGAAACCGAAGCACTTACACCCAACTGCCCAGCCTCTACTTGTGTAGGGGTTCCTTCTCCAAGCTCTTCCTAGCCAGGGAAACATGTTTGGAAACACTTGGCGGCGGGGCTCTGTCACTGTTCATTCCAACTGGTCAAAGTTTGACGCATTTGCAACTGGCCTGCGGCATCGTCTCTGCAGAGGTGGTCTCAACAGCGTCCAGGTTGATATCAGCCTGGTTGTAAAAGACCTTTTACAGAGTCACACGATGGAGTAAAGCTTGCCTACTCACTCCTCCCCTGCCATCCTACCACTGAGAACTCATAGTTGTGGCAAACTGGCCTAGCCTGTACACCCTCTGATCTTGCTTCTGCAGGTTCCTCCTGATCGTGCAGCAAATCACTTTGGTGCAACGGTCGGTTACAAGTACTGTAACTGTAGATGTTTAAATATCAAACGTACAAAGTAAGATGAAATGACACAAGAGGTGCGTACTATCAAACAAAGCCAATCAGTCATAAACACTCAAAATCCACGGAAACAACGAAAAACAGGGAATTACAAAGATCTGTGGCACTACCATGCTTACTGAACGAAACGATCTCTGCTTTGGCCGCGCTTGTGACATGACCCTCCGTCGCTATTCTCCTTGGATGTGCTCTCTTCAAACCAGCTTCCCACCTTCTCCGTGTCATCGGCCTCATCACATTGCTAGCTAGATCCGTGTCATAAGCTTGGAGAACTGGTCCGAAACCGAAGCACTTACACCCAACTGCCCAGCCTCTACTTGTGTAGGGGTTCCTTCTCCAAGCTCTTCCTAGCCAGGGAAACATTATGGAAACACTTGGCGGCGGGGCTCTGTCACTGTTCATTCCAACTGGTCAAAGCTTGACGCATTTGCAACTGGCCTGCGGCGTCGTCTCTGCAGAGGTGGTCTCAACAGCGTCCAGGTTGATATCAGCCTGGTTACAAAAGGCCTTTTAGAGAGTCACACGATGGAGTAAAGCTTGCCTACTCACTCCTCCCCTGCCCACTGAGAACTCATAGTTGCGGCAAACTGGCCTAGCCTGTACACCCTCTGATCTTGCTTCTGCAGGTTCCTCCTGATCGTGCAGCAAATCACTTTGGTGCAACGGTCGGTTACAAGTACTGTAAATGTATATGCTATCCCCCGTGATTGTTCATAGGCGCGCTGATTTTGCATTTCATAAACTGTGTGGGTTTATAAAATGTGTGGGATAGGTTTTTTTGTTTGTAAAATGAAAAACCTACTAGTTTATAGAATGACCAGCACAGGTTGTGATAGGTTAAGATAGAAATCGACATCCAGGAAGAAACACTTTACAAAATGCGAATTGCTCATCGGAAATGTCCGTAAGAAGCCAAATCCGGATACTTTATAAAATCTTGAGTTTAACATGTTTTCCAAAAATCCTAAATTTCAAGAAATGGCCTCAAACCTCTTGAAACATCAAGGAAAGGCAGGAACTGAAGGAATATGACCAGGAAAATAACTAAGAATTAAAAATTAACTAGCTACTTTTGGTGCACTTTTTCTCCTCTCCCCCTGTCTCTGTGTCTATTCCCTTTACGGGGTTCGAATCGCCACGGTGCCGACCCGCGAGGGCCCAACACCGGTCAACTCCCAACTTCCGAAGCCAGGCTCCGGCCGAGACCAATGTTTGGAGACGGTGGCCTCTCGGCACCCCCCCCCGTAACAAGTGAATGTTTATAAAATGAGATTACGGGGTTCACCTGCCCTCTATTACTGTCATTCAGTGTCCAAGTTAGTAAAGTTTATAAAATGACGATACTCCAGATCTTATGTAGTTATCCTAAAAAACAAACCCTAATGTTTATAAAATATGTGTTGGAATTTGCATTTTGTAAAGGAAAAGGATCTGCATTTTATAAGCCCACAATCACGGGGGATTATATGCTTAAAAATGCTTAAATATCAAACGTGCAAAGTAAGATGAAATGACACAAGAGGTGCGTACTATCAAACAAAGCCAATCATAAACACTCAAAATCCACGGAAACAACGAAAAACAGTTAATTACAAAGATCTGTGGCACTACCTGAAAGAAACGACCTCTGCTTTGGCCGCGCTTGTGACATGACCCTCCGTCGCTATTCTCCTTGGATGTGCTCTCTTCAAACCAGCTTCCCAACTTCTCCGTGTCATCGGCCTCATCACATTGCTAGATCCGTGTCATAAGCTTGGAACACTGGCCCAATCATCCTCAACTACATTCAAACTGAAGCACTTACACCCAACTGCCCAGCCTCTACTTGTGTAGGCGTTCCTTCTCCAAGCTCTTCCTAGCCAGGGAAACATGTTTGGAAACACTTGGCAGCGGGGCTCTGTCACTGTTCATTCCAACTGGTCAAAGCTTGACGCATTTGCAACTGGCCTGCGGCGTCGTCTCTGCAAAGGTGGTCTCAACAGCGTCCAGGTTGATATCAGTCTGGTTGTAAAAGACCTTTTAGAGAGTCACACGATGGAGTAAAGCTTGCCTACTCACTCCTCCCCTGCCCACTGAGAACTCATAGTTGCGGCAAACTGGCCTAGCCTGTACACCCTCTGATCTTGCTTCTGCAGGTTCCTTCTGCACCTGCAGCGTTCTTGCAATCAAAGGCCCACCAAACTTATATAACTGTCACAGGTTGCTGGCCTCACCATGACAATAGGATACATACGTAGCTTTTGAGGGGGCGGGAAGCCATTATCATTGCTGTGCTGTTTGCATTGAATTCTATCTCTCTTTTTTGGGGATTGTGATCAAAGCTCCCTGGCACCAGTGAGTCACCTGCGACCTATCTGGGGATGTCCTGGTCGACGTTGAACCCCGCCCTTCCGGAGCCAGAGCATTGGTGTTTCTCACATCTTCTGACATCTACCGACTCCCGATCAACCAAGTAAGATATGAATATGCAAAAGTTGACAGCTGGCAGCTGCTATTGTGTTTCTTGGCAGCTGCGCTAGGGAGCACAAATGTCAGCATCTTTTTCACTGCCATAGCCACTTTCGGCGAGACCTGTAGTGGCCGTTGGTCCCACACCTAGTGTGTGATTAAACATGCTACGTGCAGAGGGGAAATTGAACTCTGCTTCCCTTTGCTTAATCGAGAAGGTGAATTCTCTGCATTCCCTTTGTCTAATCTGCTTTGCACGACTTCTTGACTTGTTTCCTCGAATCTGTGCCATGCAGGATCGGTAGGGGGGAGAAGGCAAGGTAGGATGAAAGCAATGGTCGTGAGCCGATACAAGAGGAGGCGAGGCTGTGCCAAGAGGAGGCGAGGCTGTGCCATAAAAACACGAGATAACCTGGCAGAGGAAAGAGGATCATCAAAACTCCAAAATAACCTCCAAACATCTCCAAACTCCAAATGTGCCATTCAAAAATGAATTGCATGTGAAGGTGCACAAAACACCCAGGTCTAGGTCAAGAACGAACCTTTATATAACCTTTAGAAAGCCGTTTGGTTTGTAAACGCCAGTGATGAGGATCTTCATAAGATACTGATACAGTATAAAACAAAAACCTCAGCCAGAAGACCCATTGTACTTCTTAATATGTGTGCAGTGTGCACCATAAAGAAGTTTCAGTCATATAGTTCTTTCCCCGATGCCAGAAAGAACCATCAGCCAGAAACAATAACATGGTTCGAAGTAAATATGTCTAACTATCTTGAGGTGAAACAATACCAAGAAACTTGCAGCCAGAAGAGCAAAACACAAGAACAAAATTGGTTCTACATAGGCAGAGGTCAGAGGCAAAAAAAAGACAGAAATGTCCATCGTATAGATTGGAAAATTCATGGGGGCAAGCCCTTGCTCAGTGGCAGCAAAGGTTTTTCGGTTTCTCATAGGCCCTCATAGGCTAGCAAGTGTCCCAAATACCTGCGACATGCCACTTTCCTTCCAAAAGAGCCATTTCATGTCCCAGAGCCGGGTAATACTGCCTTTACAAATTCAGCCTACGTCAAGAATGACAAAATATGAGCCTCAGTTAAACCCTAGGTTGTGAAAATTGAGTTGACTGTTCCCAAGAGCAAAAACATTCCACCAACGGAACCTTTGGCAGAGTTGCATGTTTGGTTCTACGTCTCTCCCAGACCTGAACCTAAAGTTTGGAACTTAACCATGAAAAGAACATAGGCCCTTTTTTACTTACGCAGGGGGGTTGTGCAATTCCACAAGACAACAATTGGCTGCGTGCTCCCGTTATGTCATGTACGTGAATCTTTCCAAATGTCCAACTGGTCCATCCTCAGTCCAAACACCCACACACTACATCCCACTATCGTGCCTCATTCCATCCAATTGCTTGCGGCGGCGTCTCTACCGATCTAGGCTTCACCTCGTCCGTACTGACGTCAGCCTGACGTGTCATCGTCTGTCAGGTGGTGCGCTGTCAAAGCTCAAAGAGTGCACCCTGTGCTACTAACAAGGCCATGGATTATGATAAGCATATAGTTTTGAAGAGCCGTGGGTCTCGATTGCCTGGCAAATGTCCAAGAGCAAAATATGGACTTCGCCTCTGAATGCTCCGGGGTTGCTTTTGCGGGATCTTCCTGGAAAGCAGTCAGTGCAGTGTTGCTCACGGATCTACTGAGCCAAACACGTTGATAAGATTGGAAGGATTTCTGGAAGTGAGGGCAAAGAAATTAAATTGTAGGCAGCCTGTCTGCAAATGCTGAATGGCAGAATGACAAAGGTTCGGCTATTGGCTATCGTCCTTCACATGTTCTGGCTCACACCATCCAGGCTCCTCACACGGGGTCATCCAGCTTGAAGTAGTGTATACAAAAAAATGCTGAAAGGCGCTGAAAGCTTCATGAAACAACCATAATGGAGCAAAACCATTCAGTCGGCATGCACATCACACGTCCAAGAAAACCTCGCAAGAAAATATGGGACCATCACCTTCCCTGCGCAACCAGGCTTCGAGCTCCCAGGCCACAAGCTCCAAAGAAAACCGCGCCTGAGCTCTTAAACCACATGGGTCAAGGTCAGGCCTTGGATGTCCCGCGTACAAAAATGACCGAACACTGTGTGGAAGATATTGGCTGGGAAAGCCTGCAAGCAGACCGGCTGCCTGATCGCGGGATAAGCTGGCAAAACATGAGCAACCAGGGTCGATGTGAACCACAGCACCAACGTGAGACAAAAAGCCTTCTCCGGGCAGCTAGTTCTTAAGCTGGGCTGGAGAAAGAAACAAACGGGGCGTCGTGATGTTCTAACAGCCAGGCTCAAACTAGCAAGCAGAAGAACTGCCCTGGAAGAGCCATGTGGCACCCATGTCGTCCCAGAAAGCCTTGCACATTCCTTCGCGAAGCACCCGATGGTGGTGCCATGGGTGAAGAATGCATCCAGGAATGCTCGCAACGAAGCAATCGGTGCAATGCTTGCTCAATAACCCTGAAGTCTCACAAATCTCTACTACAGTACACCCTTCTCCCTCTCTCTCTCTGTCTCTCTCTCTCTCTCTCCCCATCTGATTGAACATGATTTGCTTGGGATTCAGGCGCAGAACCACCCAACACATGTGACTACTTTGCAGTCCAAAGGGAATCCTTCTGCCTGGTGTCTTCAGGTTCATTCCTCCCTCCCTCAGCAATCACCATCGATTCAGTCACTCCTCACTTCCAACCTTCAACCCTTGCATCGAACATCGTCGAACCAGTTACTAGTTAACTAGTTAACTATAAGTTCAACGCTCTCTAGTTCAACTACCTCAGCTGCCGGCGTGCAGGCGGCAGGCTTCGGTGCACATGTGCCTCCAAGTCATGGCCGCTTCTTTGGACGAAGGGCCATGGACTGAGGTAATGAATGTGATTACACCGCGGATGAAGTCTGACATAGACATGCTCTGACCGCACCAGTTCCAACATGTGGAAACTCACCCAACTCTGCCTGGCTCAGAGGCCCTGAGGGCTGCTGCCATGGTTCGACTCGCAGACACGGTGAGCGGCTGACGATGAGCCCTGCAGTCGAGCGCAGGCGTGGGCGTTCTTCGAGTTCGGATGTTTGTGGCCGTGGAAGTTTCGGGGAGTTTGTTCTACAGCGCAAGACTTCAACTACGCATCCTGCTGGAAGATGCTGGAACGGGAAGTTGAGGGTGGCCTAGTTTTGAAACTTGCTGGCTCAACCCTTGGCATGTGCAATCCTCAACTGCCAAAAGAATCCTGCCCCGTCCCTAGAGACACATGGACAAATATGTGCATGGTCTCAACAGGGACGGGCCGATACTGTCACTATTCCCTACTGCAATATTGGTCTCAAAAAAATGTTGCAAGCCATACCTGTTTGAGGTTGGGGATGCCGGATTGGGGACAAACTAACAGAACTCATGTCAGGCCAAGCCTCTGATGTGTCTCTGCTGTGCGCGCGGCTTGCACAAAAAGGCCTTTGCCCTTTTGTGATCTCTCATCTGCATGCAGTGCATGCACATTGGATTCCTGAACCTAGACAAGGTGCGCTTGGGCATCAAACAGCAAACTGGTTCTGGAAATATACAGCAGATGGAATATGTCTTCCTGCTTGGCCAGCTCGTCTTCCTCTGCTGAGAGCTCCTCAAACTCCCTCTCCATCAGCAGCCTGGCCTCCTGGCCAAAACCAAAATACACAACCCTACTTCCAACGAACTAATACAGTAACAGGCGACCCCGAGAAAGGTCGACCCCATCGCAGAGTCAGCCCTGTCGCAGCGACATTTGACCCTCCCGCTCCTGATGTTGACTGAGCTCGTTGGTCACAGTCCTGAGTGGCTGGGGATCCCCGTCTTTGGGGGGGTTGATGAACTCTTTCGGTCACTTGGAGGATGAGTTTGCGGCTCCAACTCACCAGCGATGGACTCTCTTTCTGCGAGGGCCGCATTCAGGTCGCCGAGCACCTGGATGTACAGTAAAAGGTGGTGCTGGACAACTTAGCGAAAGCAAACACGAACTTAAAAGAATGCACCACGTTGTAAAAGACATTATGATTGTGTGTACTGTGTACTTCTCTTTTTTGTAAGATATGTGTGCTGTAATTACATGTGTGTGTGTATGCGTGTGTGTGTTCTAGACCTTTGCAAAGCTATGTGAGGTGCTTTCCATGAATCGTCTGTAAGAGCCCTCGCCAAGCATCCTGTGGAACCCCAGTTTTCCGCCTGGTCTAACTGGTGGGTCAGGTTCACGGACTCTGCACGGCAACTCTCAGCCTGCCACCCCAGGAGAAAGGAGATCGATCTGCGGGCTAAATTTATTCTAGTACCTAGGACCTAGGAGCTAGATGAGATGTACAGTATATACTTAGTATTGGCTCCCATCCAGTGTGGCCATTACGGATCCTAAACATCCTAAACTCAATGCCTGCTCATGTCCCCTAGAAGCCTGCAGAAAACAGGGTTTATTCCCATGGCCCGGTTCTGCTTCCAATTGTCTCGTTAGTTCCCACGAAGGCGCTTCGGACATGACCAGGCCTCCTGCTCCGCGCGTCCCAGATGCAGTTGCCAAAGCCTGTCCTCAGCGCAACCCAGCGGTAGCGAGCAACATCTTCCCGTCACACCAAACAGCCGCGTGAAATTTGGCAAGAGGGTTGGTCACCCTGAGGCTTGAAGGTGCCTGAGCTGGGGTCAAACTACCTTCTGTAGGCGGACCCTTGCAGGGTCAATCAACCTGGTTGGCATAGTTTAGGAACATGGCTTGACGAATCACAGCTTCAAAGAGCAAGTTCACACCTTTTTGCAGCAAGGCCCTGACACTCAATGGCAGGTCAGTCCTCCGATGATGTCAGCAATGGCAAGTGGTGCTTTTCACCACATACGTTGGCCTCTCAGAGTTCGTGGATAGCTTAGCTGGCCACTAAAGCACTTACAGCTCAGCCCGTCAGAGCACGTAGAGCGCAGCATAAGCAATTGGACTCTGGATCGTCAACGCGCCACCGGCAACAAAGCCCACCACAGCAACGGTGAAAAGCCTTGAATATGGTACCGGGTTGTCACAAGACTCATCCATCTGAGCAAGCATCATGGGGACTTGTGTCACGAGGAGGAGGAACCAAAGAAAGCTCCTGAGCATGGTGGGCGAAGGTCTGCGCACCACTGGCGTTTCTTGATGTCAAAAGAGAAGACAAGCGAATCGTCGTCTCCTTGTCACCTCGAATGCTTTCTGGCCGATAGAAAATGTTAATGCTTGGAACTTCAACTTTTGGATTTTGGACTTTGGGACTTGGTTTGGAGGGTGCGCCAATTGGAGGGTGCTTCACTTCAACAGGAACTCCTTTTTAAAAAAATTGCAAAAACTGGTTTGAGCAAGGATGTGGCCACGCGGGAGATTGCAATCTCAGCTGGTAGGGGTAGTATGGCTGATGATCGCAGCCCGGTCGGTGTGAGTGACTTTCTTGGAGGATAAGCTTGTAGCACAGGAGGTTTGGCTATTTTTGGCCGCTCGAACCAGAACGGCCTGCGAAGGAATGCTGTTCCTTCCCGAAGACCACATGAGAAAGCAAAACCGTGTTACCTTTGCCCACATCTGACCTAGAATCAAAAACCACTTCGGAAGCGTCTGGAACGGTGGCCAATCCCCCCTCACACCCTCCGGGCAAAATGACTGCTGAAGCCTGGTTTGAGGCTGGGACATTCTGCGCCAGCGACAGCATGTGGCATCGCAGTTCCGATGCCAATGCTTGACACTCCTGTCACATGCCAGCTGGCTGACTCGGAGTGGAGGACCTTTAATGTAAAACGGTTCCCTCCCAAACACCATCAAACACCCCACTAACATGCAATACACGCAAACCCATTGTTAGAGCGGTGCTTGGATCAGGTCCTTCCATGACGTCGGTGATTGGGGGAGGAATGCAACCCGAGTGAGCCAATATCTGCAACCAGTCCAGGTTGACCAAGTGCTAGTTGGCAGGAGTGAATTGGTTTAATAAACAAAAACACTGGACGGGACGAAAGGTCCAATTCCTTTCTCGGTCCTGCTTGTGACCTGCCAGGGTGACATCGGCGAGGACCGTGAGAGCGCGATCTACCTCGCGCTCGCGGGACAGCCATGGTCAGTGCATATGAAATCTGGCCGTTGCAGCCCTTACATTGGCCCTTTTGCACGAAAAAGCCTGCACGCTGCACAAATTTACTGAAATCTGTTCTTGAGCCTGCTCCCAGTGGGCAATGTCGATGTCGTGGGGGCACTCGGTTCCTGCAAGGAGCGGCATGAGATGCACCAAACTACCCAACTGCGAAACAACCCATACCCCACCAGCACCCATAAAACAACAGAACGGGTGCTCCTGGGAGATGTTTTTCATGCAAAAAATGATGCAAAAAAACACTGTTAAAACAGTGATTTCTTGCAAAGTCCTCTCCAAAATTGAGGCTTTGAGCTATGCTTTGATCAATTTTGTGAGAGCCAAGCCTATCCCAGTTTAAAGGGAAAAAGTAGTTCCCGGGCAAGCCGGCGGCGGAAATTTCCAAAAGAATACACCTGTACGAAATGGGCATGTGGCAGGCTGATTCGCCGAGCTGCGATGTTCTGTGACAAACCAAGTTGGAACCGACCAACGGAGCGAAAGCGAAGCAGCCACCGTCAACTGTCTCGGAAAAAAAACGCTGTTCATGCATTTTCTTTGCAAAATACAGAATAGAGATGACTCAGCCGCGTACTAAAGTTGTCTACAAAGTCGCCAGTTCTCAGCTTCCAGCTCCACGGCTTGCTCCGCGTGCTAGAGTTGCACTACAAAGTCGCCAGTTCTCAGCTTCGAAACAAATGAAACCTCTAATAACAATGGAGGGACGATTCCGAGCATGATCCGACCATGATCCGAGCATGACCCGAGACCGTCTCGCACACAGCGTTCCACAAAGCTAGACTTGCCAGCTTCGGAGCCACCCCTTCTATTGAAAAACGCAGCATTTCGTGCGTCCGCTATCTCTCGAGAACGCATTTTGTATTGCGCCCGCGACGAAATCTGCACATGGAGGTTCACAAGGTGCTGTGCCCGCCACGAAATCTGCACATGAAGTTCACAAAGTGCTGTGCCTGCTACGACTTCAGCACATGGAGGTTCACAAAGTGCTGTGCCTGCTACGAACTCTGCGCATGGAGGTTCACAAAGTGCTATGCCTGTCACGAAATCTGCACATGGAGGTTCACAAAGTACTTCGCCTGCCACGCAATCTGCACATCGAGGTTCACAAAGTGCTGCGCCTTATGATGGGTGGTGTATGAGTGGTTCTTGAATGTGGTGCATTGATGAGTGGTGTATGATGAGTGGTGTATTGATGAGTGGTGTATGATCAGTGGTGTATGATGAGTGGTGTATGAGTGGTTCTTGAATGTCCGTAACACGGAAATTTCGTACACTAAACTTCCTTTGGGCAAAAAACCATTAAACCAAAAACCTAAAAAAAATAGAAATAAAAAAAACTGTTTGAGACAAAATGCAGCCAAAAAAAACATAGTGCCCATTTTGTCTCAAACATTGGTGTTTTTGTTTTTTTGTTTTATTTTTGGTTTATTTGTTTTGTGGTGTTTTTGTTTATTTGCTTTTTTGTTCTTTAGTACTCTCTCTAAACTGGGATGGGTTTGGATCTCACAAAATTGATCAATCAATAGTTCAAAACCTAAACCTTGGAGAGGCTTTAGCCAAAAACCACTGTAAAACACAATGTTTTTGCTTCATTTAACGGTGGAATGTGATTTTAAATTCCAATTCAATTGATTTTGGTATTAGGTTTCAAGTAAAATGCGCTCAGAATTGTTGGTGGAAGTTGATTTCTCATTAGTTTTCCATAACAAATGTGTTTAAGATTAATTGTGGGTTTTTACAAACTAAGTTTCATTTATATCATTTTCAAAATCATTGGGGAAATTGATGTTCATATTAGGTTTCAATTAACATTTCTTCAAAATTAAATGTAGAAAAATGAATGTGTAATTCAACTTCGGTTACATTCCTGTTCAAGATCATTGTGGCCATTGATGTTGAATTTAAAACCCTACTATATTTCATTGTAGAAATTCGTCATTGCTTAAAAATTAAAGTCCTTTTCAAAATCATTGTGGAAACTAGTTGTTGTTTAGATTTTCATCTAGGTTCTTTTCAACAACATAATTTGGTTGAATTGCTTGTGTATTGGATATCAATCAAGACCCTCTTAGAATTGATTGTGAAATTAACTGTCAGTTAACAGTTAATGGTGGAAATCAATCCTTATAATTGGTCCTTTTATTTGATGTTGCCTTGTAGTGGGGGGCAAACAGATACAAAATCAATTCAAGTTAGTCAAGCACCACACTTTCCACAATCAATCTTAAATCGAGTTTAAGCACAACCTGATTTTAAATCAAAGCCACCACTAACTGTGAAAATGGTTTCGGCGAAAATGTTACCTAAATTCTAATTGTAAAAATTAGGGATTTTTATTGCAATCTAATATGTAATATATCTAATAAATAGCAATTTCCACAATCAATGTTAAATGGATTTTGATTGAAATCTTCTAGTTTAAGTTCACCTAATTCTACTTTAATTCTTGTTTAGTTAGTGTAAGAAAACACATGTTACAAAACCCTATATATAGCTTACAGTGTTTTTTTGCCCTAGGAGCGCTGGGATTAAGACAAGAACTATGCTTTTGAGTAGGTAGTATTTGTTTAAAGTAATCCCATGAATAATCATTGCTATATTGAAACTGTTTTATGTACAAGTTTCCAATTCAAAAGGTTCCCTCTAGATTTGATCACTTCTGTGAAATATAAAGTTTTCATTTCAAAAGTTTTCCCCTGGATCTCTGGAAATGGTCATGCTATTTTCAATAAGCAACACGTATGTATGTAAGTGTTTTTTTCAAAAGCTTTCCTTCAATGAACATACAAAACTCTAGGAAATCTACTTTCCCATTGAATCTAGAAATGTATAGTATTATATCTTCATTCGCTCATGATGCTACATTCATTGTGGGCCGAGAGAGATTTACCTGATCAGATTTATCATTGGCGTTGCACATTGATAGTGGGCAGACGAAGAGCTGTTATTTGTTGTCATTGGCATTGGACATGGGGACTGGGCACCGGCAGGTCCAAAAATTGCGTCTCGCCTAGTTTTCAGAGCAGTTTTTGAAGTGTTGCACGGTATTTACAGTGTTTTTAAGGGTGTTGAGCTAGTGTGTGCTCTCCCAAGCACACCCACCCTCTAAAACAACCACATCGGACGTCTTTGATCTCCATGCGTTGCACAATGCAAATATGACAGCCCAGCTGTCCTTTGCACTCATGTGAGTCTTCCACCACCATTATTGTTTGCGCTAGTGTGTTCTTTTCTTGCGGTGGGTTGTCTGTCAATGTTCCTCCATAATTCCATAGCCATGGTTTCCTGGTCTGTGCACTTGAGTCCCCATGTTGGTTTGTTCAACCATGCACTCGGCTGAGCCAAAACAGCATAAAACAATTAAAACAACACTTCGTTTTTGAACTATGCGCACCATACCTATCTACGAAAGACATGTTGCACACTCAAAGGTTCATTCGCTGAGTTGCGTCACCCGGACCGTTTGTAGAAATTACGGTGAGTTACCACGGGGCACAACCAATTGCTGGGGCACGCGTGTGTTGAGAGGGATGTGAAAACCAGTCATTTCAACCCCCTAGTCTCGAGCAGTTTTCGCACCTGCCACAGGTTTCAACGACTGCAATTTGTTGGTTTTGTCTCTGAATGCGCTCAGGCCTGGGCTCTGATTCAACCCCTTGTGGTGAAAACCTTGCAACACTGCACTCATTGCGCTGGGGTCACCACAAGTTGATCCCAGAACCAGGTGTGAGCTTGGCAGATTGGGAAAAGGATCATGGCCCTTGTCACCTTGGGACTCGACAGATTTGTGCCCAAGGCGCCTGCGGTATCGTGTCATGTGAAACAGTTCTACACTTGATCATAGCCATAAGGCCGTGAGGCATGTCTGCACAATTTCACTCCGGTCATCCTCTGATTTGTCGCTCTGGGACACCGGAAAAAAACAAGTGCTCAGCCACAGCAGCTGCTGCACTTTCCGAAGGCATCTTTTGGCCTTGTATGCTCGCCTTCTCTCAGATGTGGACATCCTTCTCGATGGAACTTCCTGCCAGTCTTCGTGATGAAGATGGTTTCTGGCATCTCCAAGCTCTTGATTCGAGCCAGGTGTCTCATGATCTCCTGGTCCTTGAACTTGACCATCTTCTGCAGCTTCTCGATCTCGCCGGCCATCTCGGCATTGTCAGTGATCCTTGGTGTCAGCGGTGCTGGTCTCTCTGATGATGCTGCTGTCTTTCTGTCCAGCTTCATCTTCAATTCGGCATTCTCATCTTCAAGCTTCACTAGTCCAGCTCTCATGTCGCTGACCGTAGATTCGAGCACCATTTTCCTTGCATTGACCGCTGTCATGTCATTCTTGAGGTTCTTCAGCTCGAAGTCCTTGTCATCGTACTTCTCCTCAAGCTTCTCATACTTATCTTTCCACCATTTGTTGTCAAACTTGAGGCTGTCGATCTCCTGTTGCTGTAGGTGTGCATCTTCTTCGCTCTTCTTGTTCTTTCGCTTCAGCGTCTCCTTCTCGTCAATGACCTTTCGTGCAAGATCTTCCCATGTGTCTCGAGGACTTGCTTTCCTCTTCCGTTGGAAGGATGCTCCTGAGGATGATGGTTGATCTCCTTCTTGATCGACATCCATGTCATCGTCGTCGTCGGACTCGATCTTCACATGTTGGATTCTTCTCTTCTTGCTCATCCAACTTGTCACCATTCTCTCAAGCATCACCGCCAGAATCACCGTGATGAAAATCATGAGGTACACGGAGAAGTAGCTTTTCTGCTCTTGATTCTCCGGTTCAGTGGATTGCGCATCCACCAAAGTCCCAAATGCTAAAGTCGGCATCATTGCCGCCAGCATCTTCTTGGAAGTGGCAAACGCTGCCAGTCCCACAAGCACTGAAGCATGTGTCGTTCGCACCATGCTCTCATCCTTCTCTGCCTTCAGGATCATCTCCTCGTCCTTCAGCATAAGGTCGTGCTCGTCAAAGTCGATGGTCGGAAGAACCCTTGTCACAATTGGGTGCTTCTCCACTCCATGCAGTCTGATTAAACCTGTTGTCAACAACATCAGCATCATTTCATGGACCATGGACTTGGTGAGGGAATCGGCAAGCATGTAGTTCGTTGGGACCAATGTCACCATTCGAACTCTGCCATCCAGTCGCGCTTCCTTTATGGACAAAACATAGAGCCGCTGTGTTTTATCCTGAGGCATCGTCTTGCTGCCTGTGATGAGCTCATAGACATCTCGAGCATCTCCATACATGTCCAAAGGCATCTCTGGATTCCCAGCCGTCTGGATCTTGATGAGGTCCTTCAACGATGGAGGATGTTGAGGATGGAGCATCTCGCTGAGCCTGATCATACACAAGGTTGCAGATTCCAAGGCGTTCACCATGGCTAGTGTCTCACCATGTGATGTGCTGTAGCTCACCCTCTTGGCTTTTGCTCCATGTGAATGCAAAACATGCATTACTCCTCCATGCATGAGTTCGTGCTCCTCAGTCTCGCAGGTGTGCTCAAAGTCAATCGTGATGTTCCGCCATTCGTCATCGGCCAAAGCAATGACTACACCTTCCTGGGCATAGTTCCGGCCCTTGCTGGCTGCCGAAGCATCATGGAAGCAAACTAGTCGTCGATGCTTTGTCCTGAAGTAGCGGTAGTGCAAACCAACATCTGCAAACTCCTTCACCTTCATGAGCACATTGTTTGCCTGCTTCAAATCCTTGATTTCTGCTACTGTCACTCGTGATTGTAGTGCTGAAACATCCGCAATCACGTCCAGCCGTGTCGCTGTCACCCTAAGAAGTGCTCCTAGGATGGATCGCAGATCTGAGACTTCTGCTGGTGTCAATCTGGAATCATCTTCTCTTGCAGGGACAGGTGCAGGTGTAATCTTTTCTGAAAACTCCTGCTGGCTGATCATGTAGCCGTCTGCAGTACGAAGGTACTCACAACCACAATGAGTGAATGGCAATTGCTGTCGCGTCACTTTGCCAAACTTCTTGACAAAGGAATCATATGCATCGTCCAGCCACTCAGGCGTTCCAGTGATCGCCAAGTCATCCACATGCGTCGTGACCATTGCAATGTTCTCACCATCCTTCTTCCATGTCCAACAGTTCTCATCTAGGTGAGATGGTTCCGCGCCGCTTTCTCGGATGAAATCATGTAGAGAAAACTGCCAAGCCAATGGAGCGTCATTCAACCCATAAACAGGCTTCAAACATAGCAGTCCATAGTTGTGCAACTCTCGTTCAGGAACCTTGAACTCGTCAGAGAATTCCGCCAGATGTCGCCAAACATTAAGTGGAGGAAATATCACCACCATGCGGACAGGTGCTTGAATGCCTTTCTTCTGCAGGGTCTTTCGGATCTTCTCAAAGTCAAAGCCCTTGAGAAATGCTCCAGCAATGTCCAGGCTTTCCAGGCTCATCTTGCGTGACCATGATGCTCTGGATACCAGGATCCTTTGGCTTAGCCTTGTCGCAGTCGTTGACCTTGTCGTGAGCTCTCCTTTCTGTCCATCCAAACAACCACGCGCACAAAGTCGAGACTTGATGCGAATGCTCTTGTCAGGATAGCGCTTTCGCTTGCGAACCCACCGTGCATCAATCTGCACGTACTCTCCTGTGATCTTCATTTTGTGGATCTTTGCGAATGCTTTCTCGTCAACAAACTGCTTGATCTCGTTGCGATCAGCTTCTTCAACAGCAGGCCAAATGTCGGCCGTGATGTCTGCTTCTTCAATGTTGCGAGTCTCCTGATCTACCTGGTAGATCTCTGCAGTCCTGAGGCATGCGTATGCTTGATGCGTCCTTTTGTAGTGGAAGTGGAACAATTGAGGAAGCTTCTCTTTCTCCCGGAGATGTTGTTCCACCATGAACTGATTGCATACCTCTGACCACATGTGACAACCTGTCAACCAATCATGTCCACAATCGATCTGAATGATGTGGTTCTCAGTCATGTTGACATGCAGGTGTCGTAGAAAATCGAGCTCTTTCTTCACATTATATATGCGCTGCCTCTTCTTCTCGGGTGCCATGACCACTGTTCTGGTCTCTGGTGCATCTCTCTTCTCGCCTCTGTCATCGGGAACGTTGACGTCCATCTTGTCGTCATCCTTGTTGATGGTCGACTGGCTTGCTGGCTCTTCCACAGGATCAGGATGATAGTGGAACAAGTAGATGGTGCACATCTCTTTACGAGAGTAATTGGAAACCCTCTTCATCTTCAGGAATCCGTCGGAGAAGTGCTCTTGCACGGCGTAGCCTTGTCCTCCATGAATCCATGAGATGAGATGACCAACTGTGTTCGATGGAGGCTTGATGTTCCGCAAGCTTCGTCCAAGTAGAGCTCCATGGACTTGATGCTTGCTCAAACCTTTGTAGATGTGCTGCACCCACAACATGATCTTCGTTGCGTGATCATCCTCACGAGGGAAGAATCGCCACTTGCCATTTCTCTTCAGCCAACCATAGATGTTCGTCTTGTATTCTGTGAGGCTTTCGACAAATCTCATCAACTTCCTCAAGGCATCTATCTTCTGTCTCCATGTTCGGCAAGGTGAAGTGGAAAATGCCCTTATAGGATCGGATGTGTCTGAGTGCTACCAGATATGGCTTTCCTTGATATTGGATGATTGCCACACCGTCATCAGCGTCCAGCCGTAGCAACAAAGCAGGTCCACGCCAGCCAGGGTCATTCTTCACCTCTCTGTAGAATTCCACCTCTGATGTACCTGCAATGAGCTGGTCGAGGTCGAGCTGGTGTGTCCTGCCTGGTTCTGGCTGCTCGTGCTACACGATCTTCAATCACAGCTTGATGAGCTTGTGCAAGTGCTGTTTGCCGGATTCTCATCGCCTTCTCAAAGACAGTGACATCTGTCTCCTGGGCTCCAACAACACTCATAATGCCACGGCTCTCAGGATCATAGAAGCCATTTGGAAGAGTGCCAAACACTGCCATGGATGGTGTCACGCCACCGTAGGACAAGGTGATGTTGTGAGCCATGCAGCTCTCCTGAGCTATCTCTTCATTCTCTGGCGCGAGGCCTTGTCGTTGAAGTTCTGCTCGTAGCTTGTACATGGTGAGCTTCATCAGACCCACATGTCGTTCCACCAAGCCAGTGCCAGTGTGCTGTTCGGATCCATGTCCTTGTGTTGTGCCGCGTGGCGCACGCTCAATAGAGAGTCTTTCAAACTCTGCTGCAGTCTCATGTGACATCAAGGATGCCTGTTGATCGAGAACAAGTCGCCGAGGTGGTCCAAAGAGAAAGATCCATGCCTTCTTAAATGCCGTCAGCAAATCGTCAGATTCTTGTCCTTCAATCGTCGTGCACATTTTGAAGCGAGTTGCTTCATCACAAAGAAGAATGAACCAGGTGTTCTCCCACATGAATAGGTCCATCTGTACTGATTCATTGAAACTGCTTGCTCCTCGTGCTCGAACTTGTGGACGATTAGGAAGTCTGACATACTTCCTGCAGATGGCACAGCATTGAACCGCCTCAGTCGCCAACTTGATGACTTCAGGTGACATTCCAGCTTTCTGCAGTAAGTTCGTGAAGTCGGAGATCGGAGAATGCCAAAGCCGCTCGTGAAGACCAAGTAGGAGTTGCTTGACCTTCGTGTGGTTCTCGTCTTCCATGAGCTTAGGAATGCGAACCAACACTCTTCGCAAGTTGTAGTTCGGCTTCAATGGTTTGATCTCCTCAAATGACTTTGTCTGCAGTTCTTCATCTTCATAAGGTGCAATCTGAGTTGGATCTCGTTCAGCTGGGTCTCCTGGTCGATCGAGTACCACTTGGGCAGGCTGCACGATACCAGGTTCATCAGGTCTTGCTCTTGGCCTTGATGCTGGTGTTGATGGCGAAGGTGCCATATCGTGCTCCACTCCATAGATGGTGATTGCCCAGTCATCCTCGTCGAGTGCTGCGTTGATCTGGCTGAAGCTCATCTCTCGCAAATTTTCTGGAGGGTGAATGTCCCATGCTTTCACATTGCCTCTCACTTGCATCCGTAGGTATGATGATGTCAATGGAAGCTTAGGCTCTGCTGATGCAAGATGGAAAGGTCGGAGTTCAATCTTCACTCCTTTGACTTGAATCAAGTCCTTGAAGAACTCCTTGAAGAGGCTCATGAGCATAGGATTGTCCAGCCAGTGAACATAGTCGATCTTTCTTCTTGCTGCTTCATTGAAGACACCCATAGTGGCATTGATGGTTTCGAGGAGGAGCTTCTTGAGCATGTGTGTAGTTGGCACGGAGAGCGCTTTGCTGGTGAGGTTCTTGATCTCCACTCCCTCATAGAGCTCCGCCTCGGCCTCTTGCTTCCACTTCTTCATGGCATCCATTTCAGTTTCAAGTTTCTTCTTTCTTCGTGGGTTTTCTTCGGATGGCCATCGTCCATGTCGACACTGTCCAGGCACCAAAGTGTGCTCTATGTTGCGAGGACAATGACGTCCAAGCTGGCATCGGACACAATCATAGTAGTGACCAAGCGTCACTGCGTAAGCATCATGTGGCCAAGTTTTCAGCTTGAGCAGGTTCATATAAGCCAGGTACTGGATGATGTCCTGCTTCATGCGCTGGCACATTCCTTTTGGGTAGACTGCTGACATCGAAGTCCTGGTCAGACCAGATGGGCCTGTGCCTTTGAGCTGAGTGTGTGGAACACCGCAATGACCTCCGCATCTAAGTCCAGTGTGCTTCCAACGAATGTTGGATCCAAAGCCAGTGGGCTTCATGATGGGGTAGCCGTGTTCATCTTGAGCTCCATGCATGCACTGGTCCACTCTCTGTCTGCTCTTGTTGCCAGGAATTCGTTGCAGTCGTAGAGGATTCTCTGGAAGTTCTTGCCATGATTGTGCTCCATAAGGTTGTTCTATGTTGTAGCCACGGCCATTGGCATCTTGTCGTGCAGAAAGATCTTGACATAGTTGTAGAGCTGGTCTATCTTGTAGACGTTCACACATCTTCTCATCAGGATCTTTCGTAGATGCCGCGACTGACCATGGTGCACAGTCCGGAGACATATGAAGCACTCCAGGTTGGAACTCTTCGTAAGCTGCGTGGATCATACCACGATGGCTTGCTACCCGCATGTCCCAGCCGTACCGGTAGTCGACGGGGAAACCAACCATGAGTCCAGCAAGAAGCAACGTCAGCGACAATCTTCCACTGCCACTGAACAACTCCCAGAAGTGCCATCGCAATCCTCGTCCTCGAACTCTCTTGAACCAGCTGTCAAAGTTCTTGGGAGTCACCGGCGTCAATCCGCTCTTGGTGTAGAACTCCTCAGGGATTGCTTTGTATCGTTTCTTCAACTTGGCTTGATCTGCCGTCTCGGGGATCATGTCGCCAGTGTAGCTGAGAAAGACGTTCTTCTCTTCATCATAGCTTGCCTCACGTAGGCCTTGTTCATCATGAATTGCCGGGGCCAAAATGGCAGGTCCGGCAGGGTGCTCGTTGATCAAGTGGTTTGAATTCTTCGCAGGCTCTTTGCTCTTGTCGTTCTTCATGCACTGCTCTGCCAAAATGGCTGATGGTGAAACTTCGTCCTCGGAGTCACGCTCTTCTGCAATTGGTGATAGGCTCTTGTTCTTCTCGCTGTTCATGAGGTCGTAGGGTTCCTCGGACTTCTTCTGCTGTTCCTCATCGATGAAGTGAATCTTCCTGGAAGGAACAGGATTCCGTAGTTCATCTTCTTCTCCATTCTCGCAAGCCAAATGATCACAACCAACATCATGATCTTGCCTCTTCATTGGGCCTTTGTCTCGTCCATGTTCGCGATTGTAATCACACCGGTCATCCTCTGCCGCCGTCTGGGAATGGAAGCAGTGTCTGACCCGTGGTTGCACGTCAGGCCAAACTTTCGAAGTGATCTCGGTGATCTTCTGGAAGAAAGCGATGGCCTCGTGCTTCGAAGCTCTTGGAACCTTCTCGTTCTGAACGTTGTCACAAGGCAGGATGTAGTGTCCAGAATCTGTGAGCAGGATCCTGAAGAACTTCACGTGGTTGACCTCTGCATCCATGGCGTCCTTGGTGTTCAGAACAAGCATGCCATCACCATTCTCAAACCAATCTGTCAAGATTGATGCACCCAATCGACGAAGAGTCGGGTTGCCAACCAGTGCTGGGCATAGGCTTCCAGCTCCACCAATGACCTCCGCCGTGTAGGTGATGGGTTGTCCTGCGGTCGCCATGGTCAACGTGACCTCTCCGAGAGTTGACTCGCTGTTTCCTGAAATGCCGGAAACTGGAGTGATCTTGTTGCGGTTGATCTCCATCTCGCCCATGGCTCTTGAGCATCCTGAGGGCCTCGCTACCAACCAGCCCGGATGCAGCTCCGGGATCGATGAGCAAACCATAGCGTTCTTGCCCATGGATGGTATGGTAGCTCATCTGTGTCTCTTCTTTCTTCATGTTGAAGACCATGAAGTTCATCTTGAGCTTCTTGTCATAGTGATCCTTCGTAGTATACTCAGGCTGACCTGAATATCCCTCAGTTGGCTTCTTGAAGTCCTCATCCTCGGATGACGTATGGATCACGAAGCTCTCGGCCTTCTTGGTCGTCTTGACCTCCTTGGAGCTTGTGGCAACTTCTTGCGGAGTTGAGGCATCAGGAATGCCTTCGCTGATCGACAGACCACCACGAGGCTTGTAGTTGTCCTCCTCCTGGTAGGCGTAGTAGTCGCCTTTTCGACCAAAGCCTTTTCCTCTTCCTTTGCCTTTGCTTCTCCAAGGATACTTGCTCTTGCCTTTGCTCTTTCCTTTGAAGTTTGGTCGCCATCTCCAGAAGCCTTTTGACTTTCCTTTTCCTTTGTAGTTGTGGCTGCCCTTCTTGTTCTTGCCCTTGCCAAGTGGACAATCTCGAACTCGGTGGAACTTGCTGCCACAATTGAAGCAGCCATCATCACTGCCATTGCCTTTTCCTTTGTAGTAGGCTTCGTTGTACTCGCCCGAGACATTGGAGTCGCTTGCTGAACCAGATGTCATGCCAGCCTCAAGGTCCACCTCTTGCCATGACTCATCGCTGGCATCATGGTTCTCATAGTAGTTCTCGTCGTTGGCGTACTCCTCATAGACCCATTCACCTTCATCGGCCTCTTCATAGCCATACCACCATGAATCCTCGGCCTCATAGTCATCGCCCCAGTCCTGGTAGTAGGCGTCGTAGTCGCCATAGGACTCATCATTCTCTTCATAGAGGATCTGGGCGTCATCAGGTTCTCGCCGATTAGGGTTGATGCGCAATGCCAGAGCTCGAGCGTCGTTGAAGCGAGTGTAGTCGCCAGCAACCTGCAGTTTGATGTCATCAACCGTCTTGGATGGCAAGCCAGAGTTCTTGAACCATAGGAAGAACTTGCCGACATCGTTCAACTGCAGTCCAGCTCTGTCATGAGCATCATCATACCGGCTGTCGAACTCCACGCTGTATTCAGACAGGCTGAGCTTCCCTCTTGCAAGGCCAAAGAACTTGTCCAGGGCTTGTGTCGCCAGATCTTGGTCTTGCTGACCGAATGCTGTGCGGAGTGCATTGGCCAAGAATTGCACTCCTGAGGGAATGTGGTTCTGGATGATCACATTGGTCGCTGGGTCGCGGACTTCATCCACAGCTAGTCGAACCAGCGCTGCATCGCCAACATCGAAGGTGCCGTCTGGCCTTGGCACTCTCAAAGACATGGCGATCGTGGATGCTCGACCATAGAGTCGTCCAGCCACCAGTGGACCGATGGCTTCATCCTCCACATTGGCGATCCGGTACCAAAGCTTCAGCTTGTCGAAGTAGGTCCTCAAGGGATACGAAGCATCACCTGGAATCCAGCCCGGCGGAATGTCCCGCCGATACTCCTGGAGCGGAATGCTCCCAGAGCTGGGTGGATTCATAGTCCAGCAATCTTGTAATCGATGGAGTCCACGGGGCCTGTGATGAGGTTCTCAAGGATGTAGTATTTATTCCTCTTCGGTTCAACCCCAAGTGAGGTAGTTTTCTGTGTTGTTTGTTCCTCTTGGGTTCAACCCCAAGTGAGGTAGTTTTCTGTCCTCGTCAGAGCCTTCTGACTTCTCTTGCCACCGACCGAGCAGGATCTCGATCTCCTCCTCCAAAGGCCCTGCAGACCAGAGCCTACCGCGCAACTCGCGGTAGCAGCCAAGCAGAGCGCCAGCAGCCTATGGCGGCGCTGGAAGGATCGGCAACGGAGCACTAGGCTCCGCTACCAAACTCGACAGATTTGTGCCCAAGGCGCCTGCGGTATCGTGTCATGTGAAACAGTTCTACACTTGATCATAGCCATAAGGCCGTGAGGCATGTCTGCACACTTTCACTTTGGGCTAAAATAAAAAATCCTCAAAAATCACTGAGGAATTCTGGTTCCGGCTGGTAGGGTTTCCGATACATCCATAAGTTGGAGGCCCTGCACGTGAAGTTTTGGGATGATGTCTGAACGGTTGCGGACCAGGGTTCTTCGCTCCCTCGGTCGGAACACAGCGGGCACAAACCCGATCCTGTGCGTGGCGCTTTTCGTATCACTGGGTCTTGTCCCGTTGCTCGTTTGCAGGTTTTGCGGGGTCACTGTGGGTGGACACAGGATCGGTCAGTTCTTGATCAGGTGCTGTTCCAGTCCAACCCACACCCCGCATAACCAGAGAGTTCAACTGAGCAGCACTCCATGTACCAAATGTGACCCAGCGAAACGTATCCGTGAATTTGCCATGGTGGGCTCATAGGACGCAAACTAGTCAAACTAGCAAGCGAAGGCGTAGGAGACCTGCTCCAAATAACCCGGCTGGAGTTGAACCACTGAAATGGTAGGAAAACGTGACCGATGATCACGGTAGACGAAAGGCACCGGCGCGATGTGAAGGAAAACTTGCCCACGCACCACTAAAGGCCTCACACGGGTCCTTCTACAGAAGCGTGGGTGATAGGGCTACGGTTCTAAATGTGTCCAATTGTGTGGTCGCATCGGCGACAGGGTTGTCTCAACTCGGCGGCCGTTCCCACCTCACAAGCAACGCCCGGTAACGAGGTTTGTGGCTGTTTGTGGCGGCTGCACATGTAGTTTTGACTGGCCAGAGCTCACCAAGCCTCCGTATGACCTGATTGGTTATAAACGAGCACAGATTGTTCTCAAATGACGACACATGGTTACCATGCAGTGTGCACTTGGCCCAGTCATTTGCAAAGCCCTGCCGGCCTTTTGGAGCGAGCAGCCGTTTTCGGTCGAGGAGTTGGTGCCACCCCACTCCCATTTGCTACTTGAACTTGGCGGCCCAACTTGCCATCGAAACCACCATAGCCCGGCTGCATCAAAATGTTCGACTCTAGCAGGGGGCCGCTTTGCGGGATGGCGCCGCAAGGAAGGCACCTACCCAGAACTAATTAATTACTCTGTTTTCCTTGCTGCTGGTACACGCAGTGGAGGATCAACTTTGCGACGGTCTAACAAGGCATTGCAACCGAACGCGTTTAGAGCGCTGACAAAATATGGTCAGTGCTCTAGGGGGCAGTTTGTGTACGCCGCCCTCTTTAGGCACGTTTTGGCTGCAAGGACCGGCTAGAGCGTCGCGACGAAAAAGGTTGAATTTTCCGTGTGCACGGGGCCTCGTTACGTTTGCTTGCTGCGGTGAACACTTCGCACGCGCCCATCAATCAATGCTAAGGAATGCAGCTTGCCTGACCAGACTTTTTGGATGGTATTGACTGACTGTTTGAACGCGCGCTGTCGGACGCGAGTGTTCGGTATTATTTGTCCTCATCAGTCCCATGATTTGGAAAACAAAATGTCGTGCACCAGCCCAGCGGCGATGGGCTGCGGCTACAGTGAAAGGTCATACGCCTCACTCCGGCTCTGATGTCTTAGCGGCTTCATTCAAAGACTGCGGCAACCCCGTTCTCAGCAAAAGTTTGTTTCACCCACTCTGTTCCAGGCATTGGGCCTCAAAATGTCCAACAAAAACCGGCACGGCTCATTCTGTCCACAGAGCCGGGCCTTTGTCCACAGAGCAACGGAACTACAAAAACCACAGAGTGCCGCACCACTGAAAGCCAATGAAGCCGACTGAAAGACTTGGTACGGCTACTTCGGACGTCCCAAGCTTTCATGGCGCCACCACCACTGTGTAGCAGCGTGCTGCATGCTGTTTACCACCATCGGTAACAATGGTGCATGTATCAACATATGAATGACCTAAGAACCGACAGGCGCGTCACAAGAACCGACACCAAGAAACTGAAGGATGGACACCCCGCGCCCGCTACGGATGCCAGCGAACAGCACGCGACCGAACGAACATACAATACTCGGATCTGCAACGGTCCCAAAAAGATCCCTGGCCCTGCTGTCAGTAGTCAGTAGTGTTGACCTTCGTGGTGACTGTAGCATTGCCGGTTATAGACTATATGTTTTGTGACAAAACTGTTCTTTACTGTTGACGGAACAAATTCGCATCACTTTTCTGCGATGATATCTCGAACCCCGCGTTCACGTTCCCTGTTAAGATTGTTGCATCCAACGCAAGATTCGCAAATGTCCCGTTGACAAAAATTCAGCACCAACTGCAATTTATGCGTCAAGGGTACAGATTTGCCTTCCTTCCTCAACGGCAGTGCATCCAGAAAGTGGCCCTTGCTAACATGAATGATGTCCTCTTTTGTTGGAAACCTGCTATCACCTGTACCCTGCCTCCCCCCTGGGAAGGACACACAAGCGCCGAAATATATTATTGCACATGACTGCAGGCATGAAGTGTTTGCAAGCGAGTGCCAATCACTAAACTTACGGTATACAGTATACTGAAATGTCTTTGTGGAAGACGCAAAAAACCATCAGACTCATATTAGCATTCTTTCGTACAACGTGGATTGATGGAAGCTCCCACCCGCACTCATGCGGGGGAGCTTCCTTGAAGAAGCATGAGCTATCCTGCGTCCATATGCAGGAGCTTCCTATTGCTAGTAGCGTGTTTACTCTCCCTTATATACTTAAATAAGTAGGAGCGGGAAGGATCGGGGGCCGAGACGGGAAGGCAAACTGACGAGACGTAGCAGTTGGTAGGACGAGAGTCCAAGTGGAAAAAGATCGAAGAAGGCTGAGAACAGAGAAGAGATGGAGGCTGGAAGACAGGCTCGAAGTTGATCGCAGTGGCCACAAGGAAGCCAGCGCAAGCGCGGAGCTGCAGGGTCCACCCAAAGCTGCCACTCCAGAAGATCCAGTCAGAGACAGGAAAAGCTGATGCTTTTTCCCCCGGAGCCGTCGTTGAAGAGCCGGCATCCTCCAAAACGGGGTGAACAAAAAAAAGTCGCAAGAAATGGTCAAAGTCAAAGGGATCTCGAAAGATTCGAAAGAACCATCGCGCAGTCAACCACCAGGCGTCACCCGCCACATCACCATCATCACCCCCACCCAGTGACCACCCAGCCCGCAAAAACCAATTGAGTGACTCATTCTTCACGAGTCCACTGCGCGTCAGGGTCCAACTGACAGATCGGCTCAATCGGCGAAGGGTCCGGGCGCGAGGCTGTAGGAGCAGCTCGTTCGGGCTGTTCGGGCGCGGGTGTTTCTTGTCCCCCACAATGCTTGCGAAAATAGCACACGACTATCAACCCGAGTGAAGCCTGCTTGATTGCATGGCGTGAAACTGCGAAAAACATGCCATTAAAACTGCAGAACAACGACCAGACACCCTTTCTCGCATACCAGCATTGCATGAGAGCAGCCGTTCCATACCCAAATGCCTTGCCGTTCCGCGCAGTGCGCCGCGTCGGAAAAGGACGGAAGCTGCGGCGCAGTCGGCAACACACGCAGGGCGCGCGCCCTTCGGATTACACCTGGTCTTGGTGGTTCCGAGACCATCACGAGTGGCCTTTCGGAGCACCCGATTTGAAAAGCTGGAGAGGAATCTCCGAGAGAAACCCTTCGTCTAAGCGCCCATGCCGATTTGAGTGTTGTTGATTGAGCTACGGAGGCAATCTCCGAATGACTGCCTCCTCCCTACAACCACGTCATTTCACACATTTTTTGCATTTTTTTGCGGTCCATACGCTGCATAGTGCCTCCGCCCTATTGACGGGGCAGGGCTTGGTCTTCAAGCCGCTCAAATCCCAGAGCTCTTAAACCACGTTGCCACTGCCATGGAACCGCTCAGTGCGCCACTGGATCCCTCACAGTCCCTCACATCTTCTGTTCAAACAACTCCCAAAAGGAACCCACATGACAGTGGCACCGGCTTTGAAAAGCTGCATTTGTACATCTGCGCCGAAGACGACGGGTGTTCTTGAGGATCTCCAGTGCAACTCTCTTCGCTCCACGTGTTGGTGGAGAGGCCAGCTGAGGCCAATGACCTCTCCCATGAAAAAAGGAATCCGTTTCTTTTTGAGCCGCTACAGGTCTCTCATAGATGGATTCTACAAAAGCAAAGACCGACATGCAACAGGAGTTGGGGCAAGTCCGTTAGTCAGACCAAAAGAGCCATAAGCCTTGTCGTAGTGCATTCCGCAAATGGTTTGCCTGGATCTTTCTTAGGCTCTAACATGCTTTAACATATTGCACTCTGGTTCCAATGGAGGGAACATCATCATACCTGCTGTTCAAACTGGTCAAGAGACACACACACACACCAGAGTGTTGGAGTCCACCAAGCACGGTAAAGCAATCTAAAGACTCTGATCTTTGTCAGGTACCAAGCTGCTCAAAAAATCCATCCTCAGATCAGCGTCGATGTCTGGCATTTGGATGTGCGCATCCAATCTGCCAAAAGGGGCCATGTCTTCTTTCTGGCTTGCTTCTTAAAGTGTACGCCATGGTTTCGTGATGCCATGCATGTACTATACAAAGGTGTCTTTGACACAAGGTGAATCAGTGACACTATCAACTCTCGAGAAAGGTTAGGGAAGAGAAGTACAGCGGTTTCAGAGCAGATTGGACAAACCCAAGATGTCTTTTGGATGGGGGTCTATACAAACCACCTTTGGCGGATTGTGCCATCCATCCTGAAACCACTGTACGTTGATCTTTCTTTGAACACTTCCACGGTCCGGGGACTTCATTACGTTTGTAAGCCCTGGGGGCCTTCCCGATGACACGAAGACCACCACGGCACACCACCGACAGCGCAGACCGCATTCCATGTGATATCAAAGCCTGGACTGGATCAATAGGAGTCGAGGATTCCAGGGAAGGTTGGTTCAAACGATCTCAGTTCGGCTCCGACCATGTTGCAGGGCAATGCAAAGACTCTCTCTCTCTCTCTACAGCCAACTTGAGAATCGCTTCAAGTACGTTCACCCTACAGTTCCAGTCCAGTCCTAGAACACGAACATTACAAAACCCGGGGATTCTCATGTGCCCTCCAACTTCAGTTTAGACTTTAGATCCCCACTCAATTGTGTCTTCTCTGATGCTCCTAGGCATCCCGGCTCCTCTTGCCGGCGCGCATGCCGGTATCGCACCCGTAGACCTGCCAATCGGCGGAAGGGCCCGGAAGCCGTGAACTCCCATTGGTCTCAGGTGGTCTCAGGTGGTCTCCCCATCACCCCAGGGTGGGCCACCCAAACCGAACGGTTTCCGCTCCCCATCGCGTTCCCGTTCGAAGTGCTTCCGGCACGATCGGGGTGTGCCAGGCATCTACCTGGTTCGCGGTGGACCGTGCTGCATGTGTATGACCTGGTTCATAGTGTGGATCTACCTGGTTCATGCCTAGTATTTGCCATCATCAATAGATGATCCTGCTTTGTGTACCTCAGGTGATACACACTTTACAATAGAAAAAGAAGCCTCAACTGCATGTTCGGAATATCCATTACTGAAAACACCCAGCTCCTGGCAAGCATCTTGAAACTCCTTTTCACCTTCTCACAACCGCTTGAGGGACCGGTCTACAGGTCTGCTGCCAATGTATCCCGACCCGCTGCGGAGGCCCACCCGACCCACGCCCAGGTGCCCTGGGTGCCGAGGCCCACTTCCGCAGACTCAGACTCCGCCTCCGAGTGGAAACAGAGGAGTAGGAGCAAGGACGCTACTAGGGGCTCTTGGCCTTACTACTAGGAACAAGAAGCTACTAGGAGCAAAGGGCATCGCTACTAGGAGCAAGGACGCTACTAGGGGCGCTCCTGGCCTTACTAGGAGCAAGAGTCCCTTCTGCTCATCAAGGGACTCTGCTCATCACGACCCGACGACACAATCAGATCCGTCGGATCCCCAAGCCAAACGGGCTCAAAGACCTGCCAAGAAATGAACATACAGAACATCTAATTGAAGTATATCCTATTCAGTGGAGGATGATGGTTAGTATAGGCCTGGTCCAAAATAGCGGTAGTTGTTTACCGACTGTTGCAGGAATTAGGACCCCCCCAACCTCTACTACTCAAATCCACCGTTTCTACAAGTCTATGCCCCACATCTTCAGGAAAAGAAATACCTTTCGCTTGCACCCCGAACAACCACACTGCCTCATGAGGTCTAGTAGCCAGCGGCGATCCTCCCTCGGTCACGGTCACGCCTCATCTTCTTGGCTCTGCAAGGCTTCGAAGTTGGAAATGGATCGGGAGTTTCCTTAGCAAGGCGCCACTGCTAGATGGGGTGTAGAGGGTCAGAAAATACTCCTCAATAGTGGGGATGAAAGACGTGTATGTATGCAACTAAACAAAACAGGTGAAACGGCTTAGCTGTCTAGCGTTAATGCCAGTTTATGCAAACGGAAACTTGATCTTTGATGGGACCACCGTCGATCCGACGATCCGACTGTTCCTTTAGAGTGCGTTTCTCTTGCCTCTTGGTGGGCAGGCTTGCATAGAACCACACAAAGTGACCTCAAACCTTCCACGAAACAACGTGCTTTACAGTCTTTGGTTCACACATCACCCCCCTCCACTCCCACGCACCAGGCCGCCCAGGTGCGCGCCAGCTCTGAGAGGTCCGCCTTCGAAAAGCCAGCGGAGTGACCAAGGCCATACTCCTACAACGGCGCAGAACACCGGGCACCGCGCCTTCCACATGTGGAGCCCTTCCGACTCCGGAATCCCTCCGGTCCCGACCCGTCGACAGTTTGGGTCCCTGCTCCTCAAGGGCCGTACAAGAGACGAAGAGGTGGTCAAGGACGAAAACTCAAAGCGCCAAAGTAAAAAGCACCTAGTGTTTCACTCTAGTTTCCACAAAACTAGAAACTAGGAACATCCCACAAGTTATCATCAATAAAGCCTATGAAATAAAATACGAAATATAGAATTAAACATCTAAGATCCCAAAATGGATCTAATTGCACACACTTAGGAATGCGCACTGACCTTCAAAATGGCCCTGCTCGCAACAGAAAGGTGAAGAAGTCAGCCTGCACAGTATGGTTTAAAGCATTGAAAAAGGCAGGTACGAATCGACATCACCAACACACATCCAGTGCCTTCGTTGGTGCAAGGCTGGATGGGCTTGCACCGAATTCAGTAATGCAATTAAAGTAGAAACGCAAAAAAAAACAGAACCTGTTGGTGACCCTTAGATACAGGGCATGACACACACAGGTAGCCGTCATTTCGGTGCACTTTGAAAAAAAGAACCAACGACGCCTGATTCAGCAGCTGAAAACAAGGCTCTTTTCTTGCGATCCGTCGGCAGGCTGCTGCATCGTGCCCCTTGTGGGCTTAGAGGGTGAGAAGTGTGTCGGTGGATGATTGAGCCTCTTCACTAAATAAATTTGTATGCCTCAATTGCGTGGAGACGGGACGCCAGGCCTGAGAGCCGAAGGCAGGTGCCACCAGCAGACGCATTGTCCCAAATTTTCCAGGTGGAAGCGGGTTGAACGTAAGCAAATGGAGGAGTACTCAGGTAGAGGGACGGGATGGCGGCATCAAGCCTCGACAAGCAAAGCCGGCAATTGTACGCGGGGCCTACGGGGGGGCTGATCGGGATCGAATAGGGATTGAACGCAGCCTGGCGCGTCGGAGGCACCGTGGAGGAGGCGAGCCAGCATGCGGCGCGGGCGACGACGCCATGGTAGAGGAGCAAGAAGGAGTGGAAATCAAGGAGGATCAAGTTCGGAAATGAAATGAGCCCAGTGGTCGTGGTGGAATTGTTGGAGGTGGACGAATGAAATGCAAGGGGAAATCATGAGTGAAGAGGGAAGAGGGTATCTGGCAACCATAATAGGTAGCAAAGACGAAGACTAAGGTAAATAAAAAGAAGAGATAGTGGTATCAAGGAAAAGGATGAAGGCGACGTATCAAGCAAAGGGAACCTTTTCACGCAAACGGGAAGAGATCGACTAAGGTTGAAACTGTACTAATAAGACTAAGCGGGATGTGCAGCGGGTCCACAGGTCTATAGGGGGCAGGAAAGGAATATGAGCAATACTATCCAAGATGCGGTTGGCAGCGCGAAGGTCTTGGTCCATGCGGGATATGATCTCAGTGAAATCGAAGAGAAGTTGCTGTAGATCAGAAGGGAAGGGCATTTCTTCAAGTAGGGACCGGGCCTGCTGCATAGTGTTCGGCTAGGTACGCTGCGCAACGAGGTAGGCGATCAAGCCGAGCGGGGCGCGGTCTGGGTAGATCTCAAGCGTAGACCAAAAATAGAGAGCAGGATAGAAAGATGCACACAAAAATGACAAGTTCCAATTGGCGAAGACAAATAAAAAAAGGCGAAGGCGGGAAGAGGTAGGTCGTGGCGCAGAAAAGATCGTGTCTCAATAGGAGTGCGAAGCGCTGCTGCCAAAAAGAAGAAAGAAACTAAGAGGCCAACTCTCAGACGAGTTAAAACCAACATGATCAATGTCGATGTTGAAAGCGCGCAGCTATTCGGAATCGACAAAGGCCCCAGCATACAACAATTGACTCACCGAGCTCCTGCACTTGTACTGTACCTGCCATCCGAGCTGTTTCTCATGACGTCATAGAAGTGACTCGCGACACTGTCCGCGGGGACCCCTCCTTGTCGAACAACACAGTGGGAACTGACCCAGGACAAGCAGAGGAGGAGGAGGAGAAAGGAATCATGAAAACCAAGGCTCCGACAGACCCCACTGACCCCACTGGGTCTTGAACAAGCTTTGGTCGCTGCGACCAAGTTATGGCGTGCCCGAGGGCTGCCTACTGGAAAACGCTATGATGGTCACCTAACGGCTTGCTCGAAAGCTGCCTACTCAAGTGCAACACAGTAATTCAGCAAGTCTTGGCAAATAACTTTGGCATAAGCCTCCTACGCTCGCTGCGGGCTGCTCTGCTTCCAGGCAGTGGAAACGTTGGACATACCCCCGTTCGACGGGGCCACTCCTCGGGTACACCCTGGGCTCTCACTAAGGAGAGACACACTTAGGAAGTGCGTACTGAACTGACTGCCGCTCGCCACACGGCAACCTAAGTGACCATATGCCTAAGAAGCCAGGCAAAAACAACCGATCAAGCTATTCTCCAAAGCGCATGAAATCAAAAGATTCGAAAGGTCACGACAGGTTGACGGCGTACGTGCACATCTGCCGATGAAGAACCACTGCAGTGGCTGAAAGGACGTACGTGATCCCAGCGTCCGAGCATCCTTTCAGCCATGGAATGCAACCCTCTTCGTTGGACAACCAACTGCTTGCCCCGCCTGCATTAAGAAAGATAAACAAATTCAAAGGAATCCCTATGACTCCAAGGGTGACACACACACCAAACTAGACCCCGGAGAATGGGATCCCGTTTCTGAACACGTTTCACGACGAGGCCGCGCGGCTCTTCTCCGACGTTTCTTCCAGCGACTGCCCCAGTCGGTCTCCTGCCCCAGTGGGTCATCGCTCCAGTGCGACACCGCGGGGTCCTGCGGGTTGACGACTGCGTTCGGTTTGGTTCGGTCGGTGCGAACCAGTCTGGACGCGGCAGCGCGATGCTGACGAAAACGCCCGGGCCCCCAATGGTTTCAGCTAGGTTCGTTGATGCTCGAAATTCGAGCGATTGTCCTTTCAAAGAAAAACATCATAAACATCCATAACGCCAGAGTGAACATAGCCAAAACCATGACATGCGGCCAAGTCTCCTACAACAAATGATCAGGATCCAATCCAAGGCGTGCAGAAAAAGTTCGCCAGCAAACTAGGCTGTCCAAAGCGCACCTCTGTGCAAAGCGCCACCCTTAAGCCGTTCATGAAGAGCTTCTGTAGGGCTGTGCTAGCCTGACACTAGGCAGGGATCTGGGATCTGCCACCATACATGCTAGCGGGATTGGCCATTTTGTGGATTCCAGAGAAGTTCAAACCCAAGCTTGCGGTGGCGGATTTCTCCATCTAGCTGTCTTCCCAGGGTTCGCACTGGAATGTCATTGATCCTTTCCTTCAAGGACTATGGCATGGCTAGGACATCAAAGCAACTGGACGTGGTGTCCTCCAAGGGCCGACGTGGAAAGGGCTGTGGCCGGGTGTAGCCCTAGGACACCTAGGTGACTTGGGAAGATTAGTTAGTCAAATACAATCAAATTAAGAGTTCTTTAAGTAAAACCAGACAGGAAACGATCGACCCTCTGACAGGGCTGTCTTTTTCAGACCCTGACAGGGCGTGGGCTCCACTGGTGTTTTGCAGGGTTCCATGCTACCCGCTCCAGTGGTTGAGGGGTTCCATGCTGGCAAACGAGGACCAGCGCTCGAGCGCTTTGTCTCGCCCGCCTCGCCGGCCGACGCCAGGGATCTTTTGGAGCATTGGGATACCTGGTGTTGGGCTGGCGAAAAGGGGACGTGATCTGAGATGCCACTTTGAAGAGAATATGTATATAAATCCAACGGTTGCAAAGCTACGCAACTGTTCAAGTGAGGGCCAAGATGGTCTGACATGCCAGCCTGTTGTTGAAATCATCAAGCTTCTCTAGCGTTGGTCTTACTGACATTATATGGCTCTACCAGGACGTGGGAAACCGCAAACTAGGTGAGAACAAAAAGCCTGGTAGAAGATGCAAAACTCATGCGTTGAACCGTTGTTCACTGTCAAACTACGGGGTCAGACCCCCAGTCACTGGTGGTGGATATCTTCACCCTTCAACCGCTGCCTTTTTGGAGTCTGAGGGCTGGACGGCAACACCGATCCGGTCCAACATGAAGAGATACCTCCGTCCGGTCGATCGAGGGTTGCACCTGGGTTGCCCTGGATGGAGCACCTGTCTGCTCCACTGCACAATGCGGTGCTTGAGATGGAAAGAGCCAATTAAGGTAAATAGCTCTCCTGAGGTTTCCTCCTTCCCCTCCTGGCAGACTGAAGTCACCCTACCATCTCCCAACAGCATCTTTCTCTCTCGGGCAAACCTTCTTCTTGCATGTATGAAGGTCCCAAGGTCCCAATACAAAAAGACTACTAGGAACAAGAAGCTACTAGGAACAAGTGCATCGCTTCTAGTAACAAGTGCCTTACTACTAGGAACAAGAAGGTACTAATAACAAAGGTTACCATATGGGATTACCATGGGACCATGAAGGTCCCAAGGTCCCAAGGTCCCAAAGAAATACTGTTCTTTTGGGGGAGCCACAGCTGAGGGTTCAAGCATACATGGTCTCTGCGAAGCTTGCACTCTGTCACTATCTGTGGAGGTGAGACCTGTCTATTTGCGGGGTCTGTCAAACAAGTGTCGGCTTCCTAAGACTCAAACCCTTGCGAGGGATGGTAGAAACCAACTGGTTCAAGACAGGACATGGTCCAACACAGGTCTACTGTAGACCGCATAGTTTTGAGCCCTTGTTGATTGCACCAAGAGTAGCATCCAACATGGTCAACGTGGCCCAACGGACCGAAACGTCCGACCGAAGGCACTGTAGCGGTGCATGGGAGCTCAGCGTGCCACACCTGGGAGCTCAGTGGGAGTCCCGCGGTGTCGTTTTCTCGATCGAAGAATCCTTCTGAGGAGTTTCATCCCAAAATCAGGCGAAAACCAGCCAAAGGGGTTCGTTCGTTGATGTCCGGAAGGGATTTCATCTTCGGCTTGCAAACGGCTCATGAGATGTTCACGCTTGAATCCAAGGGTTCCACTTCTCTCGAGAAATGGCTGCCACAGGTTCATCATGCAACATACAAAATTACAAACATCTCAAGGGTACAGATTCTCCCCACTTCAAGAAAGTCTTGCTAGTTCAGCTACTCTGACCTTTTTTCAACCGCAAATGGCCAGCAGCAGTAGTAGTGGGAGTCGTGGTGGTGAAGACATGTCAAGACCACCCCCACCAGCACTGGGCTTCCCAGGCCCCGAGACCACAGAGGCGCCCAACATGTAAGCGCAGGCCTTACGACGCGACTTTTTCCGGCGTGGACCGGCATCGGACCTGGCCCAGCAGCCTTTTCGAAGGACAGCAGCCCTTGCAAAGATCCACCTCTATCGGGCTCTGCGTACTGTTCACAGGTTCTGGGTGATCACAAAGGGAAGGGCTTCTTCGTGCTTCTTTTGTCAGCCTTTGTGACCTCCAAAAGATTTGGTTCCTCCTTGTAGGTGCATAAAAGTTCCACGGGAATGCCTTGTAAAATCTTCCGGGCAGATCCGGTGTTGTTGTTGTCCTCGCAGCAGCTCCACGTCGTGACCTGGAATGCATATCCGAGTCTACCTTGGTGATCGTTATCTACGTCTGAACCAGTAAGCGTGAATTGTCTTCAAACTCAAGAGTCATGCTTATGGATCTTGAGCGCTGCTGTTACTTGACATCTGAAAAAAAAAATGGACTCTCTTGGACTCCAATCAGCCAGCTACTAAGGTTCTGTGATGTGCATTTCTCGATCTTGTGGTTGCCATGCTTGCTTATCGTCGATGTTCTCGTTGTGGCCTGTCTGTGCAATTGTTGCTATGGCTTGTCATTGATCTTGTCGTTATGTTTATTACTGCACTTTGTTCTTGGAACTACTCGTTGATGTTGTCATTGTATGATGTTGCCAATGTGGCTAATTGGAATCAATGCTGTCATTACGTTCACTCTTGTCTCTTGACACATGACACGTGGTTTGTCCTTGCTGTTGTCACTATATTGTTGTCCTGCTGTCCTCATCATCGCCATGGCTATGTGATCCTTCTGGTCACTGATTCCGTCAAGAAAACTTGGGGGGGTCCTTGCAGCTGAGGTTGCTGTTTTCAGAAATCATTCTAGGAACCAAATAAATAGTACGAGCTAGCCTGCGTCCTAGCTAGGAGCAAATTACCTGGTTTAGCCCTGACTTAATTAAGTAGGCGCCTACTTAATTAACTCAGGGCTTACCAAAAAAAGCAAGCGATGCGGCGATGCGATGCCCAACCACCCCACCCGGACGGGTTCCCAGACCAATGCGTCTGGAGAAGAAGCCTCGGCCCGGACTCTGTGAAGCGTCCAGCAGAGTGTTTCACGCAACTCTGACTGGTGGGACAGGGCATGAAAAATGCCCAACGTCACTTCCAAAGGAGCAAGAACCGAGTCAAAAGCATGAAAGGTTTGGGAGATCTTCACTATGAGGTACTGGGTGTTGGAATCTTTGCAAGAATCAAAGTGGGCATGATGGCAACAGTTGAACTTGAACCGTACCACACGTATACTTGGCTCTTGTGCTTCGCAAAGCTTTGCAGTGGCCTCCAAGTGCTAGAAAAAGAAGTTAATTCCTCCCTTCAAGTATGCATTAGCAACAGCTGGGTGAGACATGGATGCCCAGCTGTAGTTTTTGCCTGGATGATGCTGGAAATGGATGATGCTGGTCAAGAATCCAAGGAAGTGCTCCAAAATGACCCCAAGTAGAAGGTCTGTCCTTAGAACCTTCCCAGCAAGTATGACAGCCAGAAGGGAGGGAGGGAGAGCTCGCTCGCTCTCCACAGGACCACACATTCTACAGCTTTCCAGGTACCCCCAACAGCCGCTCGCAGCTCCAAGGCCTGGCTACTTCAATGTGGACGGACGGGACCCCACATCCTGTTCGGTGAGGACTGCGGGGTCTCGGTCTTGAAACATTAGTTCTTTTCTCTTCTCTTCTCCAAGCAGCGGCAGTGAAGGCTGGAACAGCGGGCATTCCCCAAGTTCCAGCCTTCGTGTCCGCAAAGGCACCCGAGAAGGAGGCGTTGAGTCGGACGGGTGCAATTGCACCCGTGTGACTAAATGAAGCCCAAATGGTGTAAAGTCGTAGACAGAATCAGCGGCCAACAGCTTTAAGCATCTCCAATGCTACTGTATACTGTTGCAAATTGCCCCCGGCGGCGTTTCACCCAGAAGAGCATTTCCACAAACAGGAAGGCGATCTGTCACCCAGCCTTCTGGTTTGTCCGCGAACGAGCGCAATTCAAGCCTGCAATCATTCTTCACTGCAGGATGCGAAGTTTCTAAGTCAGCAGGTGTTCAGTAAACTCCATACCCCTTACTGTTGAAGAAATCATGGACCACCGAGAGAAACCACAGAAACACCGGCCAAAACGTGGTGTTCACCAGGTCAGGTGATGCAGAATTTCTTTTGGAGCTGGCCCACCTTTCAGCCTGGCCCAGACGTGGTAGAGCTGATACCTGAGGTCAGCTGCTAGCTAACTCAGCAAACGAAAATGTCTCGCATAGCATATGGCATATTCAAACATTGTACAGTGTACATTCATCATCTATCATTCTTCATAGGTGTTCCATGCGTTCAGAGGGCTAAAAAAACCACCGATCAACGTCACGAACATCGGGTGGTCGCATGGTTTTGGTTGCGATCGACCACTCTCCTCTCCAATACTCAAAGCTGCGAGAAGACTTCCAAAGGGCTGAGTGTGGTTTGAGGGTGCCGAAGTGGCCCAAAAGGAAGGCATCCTATAAACCTGGAGGATTCTCCTGTCCGTCTCAACCTCTGAAATCGTCACGATGTCCAGTGATTTTCCTCAAAAAAGGCCTTCTAAACTGCTGATCCGAAAGAGTCCCATACTTAAGCGACTCATGAATACTTCAAACGGCGCTTGCCATCTCTCGGTGATTCAGCCGTTACACGACGAGAGGCGGATGCGCCGCGGATGCGCCCCGCTGCGCCCCGCTGAGACCGTGACGCCAGGGGCGGACTGTGGGCTTCGGCCCACTCGCTGGGCTCACGGCCCTGGGAGGAGTGGGAGGATCAGTGGAGTCCGGAAGAGGTCCAGCCCTACTAAGTATGTGGTTGTTGTGGACGAAGCGGTAAGTAAGTGGTAAGTAAGTCAAGACCAATTGAATCCGTCAGGTCGTAGGAGTACCGGAACGCGTCATCTGCCCTAAAATATCAAAGGACCCAAAGGTCCTGTTTCAGGGAATGACAAAAAGAAGTATGTGTGGCTCAGGTCAGAATCTTCCCGATAGCACAGGTCCAGGTCAGCTTCTTCTGCCTCACCGTTCAAAGGCTCTGTCACCGCCAGGCACCTCAGCACTGAGGCGTGCCAAAACCCGTCAGGCAAGGATTCTGCAGTCAGTCGAGCTCTCCAGGCTTGCCAATGCCGCAGGGCCCCTCTTGGAAACTTGATCGACTTGCCGCAAAGCGTCAACATCATTAACCCCAGCCACCCACCACCCTCACACCCAGTCTTCACACCCGTCACGTCCAGTCGTCGGACCGGTCTCCCCACGCTGAGACTTCGAAGCCCACCACGCGGCTCAGCAGCTCCTTGAGACGCGCCCAGGCCTGCGGAAGAGGGTCTCAGCAGGCCCCCAGGCCTCTGCGACAAACCTCTGGCACCAAACAAAACACTAGTGAAAACCTAGGCTGCGAAAAAGAGAAACCTTCTTCAAGTGGATCTGCATGGCGAATTCTCCTTTCGGTTTGGAGACTCCCATTCACTGTCGGTCAGTGCTGTCAGCAGAGATTCAGTGCTGTCAGCCTCTCCATGAGGCTCTTCCATCGCCTGGGCGGGCCAGATGGAGCGAGCATCAGGCGGGAGAGGGGCGTCTACAACGTTGCCCAGGTATTGTTTAGGCATATCCTACTCCCCCCTGGGCCCAGTGGATCATGATGGTTCAGTTGCAGGCCTTTCCATCTCTAAAATTGTTCTTGTGTGTTGCACTTTTGCAGGTAAATAGGACAGGCCCAATGCATTGTAACTAGAATCATGTAGAATCAAGGTGCCTTGCAGATGCGCTGAGCGTCCAAGATACTTTCCAATACAGTACTTTTCTGTTGGCTGAAGCTTGGCAATGTCGTTCTAGTCTTTGAAGCGGCTTGCCTCTCATCCTTCAAAACCAAAGAACGTTCTCTGTCTATCGCACTCTCAGATTGCAAGATTGTACTTACTCTTCAGCATCTCCTTCGTCACTGTATGGATTCAGTGGTTTATCATATCTCAAAAATGCAAGGTTGCAAAACGCAAAAGCCCTTCAAAGCTTTCTCCTAGGCTGCCCATTCTCCCCTCATTCTGGTATCAGCTTGGTGTCAGCTTCCAGCTTCCCATTGATGCGGATCTGAGATTCCCGGCCAATTTCACTAGAGGCCCAAAGGCATTGTCCAAGAGCTCTCCATAGTCCAAAATGGCACGGCGCCCCTCAGGGCCCAAAACGGCTGGGGGAAGGACTGGGGGGGAAGAGATCGTGTTGAACAGATGTGCATGGCCGCATATGACCCCTTCAAGCGCCTTTTCCGACCGTTGGCGTCTCCACAATAAGGGTGCCCAATCCCCCATCCTATTCTTCTGGTCGAAACCTGCATGTCGATCTTCACATCCGTGAAGAACCAAAATAAACATCCAAGCGGAAACGGCACCCCGAATGCTGCAAACGCCCCAAGGTCTGGCAGTGGGCACCCAACCTTGAGAGCGGCATAGCTGGTCACTGGCAATTGGACCACCTGGGCGCCAGAAAACTCAACCATTTTTAGGATGCTAAACCCTTAAGAACATACAGTAACCTGGATTCCTGTGTTTTTATGGGAGTGAGTCTTTTTCAGTCTGAATGCTTCCAGGAAGAAACCAGGCCAGGCGAACCCAAGCAGTACGGCTACTGGATGGCAAATCCTCAGTCGAAGGATCAAGTCGAGGAGCTCCACTCTTGGTGAAAACATATGATCAATCGAAGCTACGGCCCAATTGGAAAAAGATCCCCTTTAAACGGGACCTTATTGAATGGGGCCTTCCCTTCTGTTTATATTTTTTGGTGCGTCTTTCCACAAGATCTCTCTTTCAAAAACCATAACTGCAATTGCACTACATCCTAGACTTATGAAAATCCAGTTCCTTCACCCGAACTACTTTCTTGTCACCTAAAATCCTCCAACCCTGGGCCACCCGCGCCGTGCTCCACCGCGCCAAGTCCACCCAGGCGTCGCCCTCCGCGTGCAACGGCAGCCGGAGCTCTGCCCAGGTGGCGCCGCCCCCGGCCGCGCTGGAGCGCTCCAGGCGCCGCACGGCCGCGGCGGCGATCTGCGGTGGGCGGTGGAGCGAACATTCCAAACATTCCAGCGATGGCCTCCAACCTGATAGCGATGGCCTCCAACCTCATGGCATGGCAATGGCCTCCAACCTAATAGCCATGGGCTCCTAGCAGCTATGGCCTCCAACCTATTACTATAATGGCGATGGCCTCCAACCTGATAGCGATGGCCTCCAACCTCATAGCGATGGCCTCCAACCTCATAGCGATGGCCTCCAACCTAATAGCGATGGCCTCCAACCCAATAGC